TAAAATAATATATTATAAAAGTAATAAACCCTTATAATAATTACTATAAAATAAGTTAATAACTAACTAAAGTTATAAATAGCTATAATAGCTGAAGGTAATAAAAAACTAATAGTAATTATTATTAAAATAATAATTATTACTATAAAAATTTATAATTTTAATATTATTAATATTATAAAAAAGGTTTACTAAGCCTAAAGAATAAATAAAATAAAAAAAAGTAACTTAAATTAATTATAAAAAAGAAAATATAAATTAGCTAAGCTACTATTAGCTAATAGTTATTAAATAAAAGTTTAATAATAATTATTTTAATCTTAGCTCTTAGGCAGTTTATCCTTTATATTTAGAAGAGAAAAATATATTATTTTTTTTTAATTTAAATTTCTTTAAAAAATTAACTTTTTATAAATTCTTTTTTAATATAGCTTAAATTATAATAAAATATATTATTAATTAATAAAGGTAATATATAATTATATATATCCCTTATTTATAATATATATATAATTTTATTTTATATATTTTTTATAAAACCTTTTTTATTATTTATTTAGCCCTTAAAGTATTTTAGTTTTAGGTTTTTATTATATATATTAAATTTACCTTAGTTATATAAATATTACTTTTTTAATTCTAGTTTATAAAATTTAATATTAAGGCTAAAAATATTTAAAATAATATTTTTCCTTTAAAGTATAAGTTTTAATTTTAATTATAATACTTTAATATATTTTTATTACTTTATAGTAATTAAAGTAAAAAACTTTATAGCCTAAGTTATAGTTTTTTAATTTTAATATAAAAGTATATTAAAAATAATTTAGTTTTATTTTATTTATTTATAAAAGCTTTTTAACTAAAGTTAGTTTTTATTTAAAGTATATAAAAAATATAATAAAAAGCTTATTATATTATTATATTAAATAATTAAGCTTTATTTAAGTTATTTCTTTTAATAAAAGTTAGTAAAAATAATAAATAAATATTTTAAAAATAATTTTAAATTTAATATTTTTATTTTTTAAAATAAATTTATAATAAGTTATAATATAAAATTAAACCTTTTTATTAAATTTTACTAAATAAATATAAACTAGTTTTTTTTTAAAATTAATAAAAACTTAATTTATTCTTAATTTATATATTATAATATATTTTTAAATAGTAAAAATTTATTAATTACTATTATAAAAGTTTTTTAAAAAAAATAGCTTATATTTAAGTTATAATATAAATATATATAAGTTATTTATAATTTTTGTTAATTTTTAATTTATTTTACTTATAATATAAATAATAAATATAAATATATTAAATATAAATTATTATTAATTATTTAAGTAATTATTTAAAAAAGTAATAGTTAATAATAATAATTATAATATACTTAATATTTATAATATTATTACTTTTTATTTTTTTTACTAAATATTAAATTTTATACTTAATTTATTATTTATTAAAAAAATAATAATTATAATAAACTAGCTTTATAATAATTAAAAATAGTATTTAAATAAATAAAATTATTATTCTTAAGAAAAAAAATATATTAAATATATATAAGTTATACCTTAATAAATACTTAATTAATTATTCCTTAGGGTTATTTTAAATTTAAGTTAAACCCTTAGTAAAAGGTTTTAGAAATTAAAATTATTATTAATTTAGGTTTAGTTTAAGTTTAACTTAAAATTAAGTAAATATTAATTTAAGTATAACTTAAATTTATAATAATAAAAAAAATTACTTAAGAATTAAAATTAAAATAATTATTATTAAACTTTTATTTAATAATTATTAATTAATAATAACTTAGTTAATTTATATTTTCTTTTTTATAATTAATTTAAATTATTTTTTTTATTATATTTATTTTTTAAGTTTTAGTAAACTTTTTTTATAAAAATTATATTTATTATTAAAAGGTTTAATAAAACTATAACAGCTAGGTTAAAGAAAAACTATACCTTAGCCTTTAATTTAAAATCCAAAATTAATTTATAACTTAACTTAATTAGCTATAGCTAACTAAGTTAAACTTTAAAAATTTAGGCTATAAAATATAACTAATTAAGGTTTAAAACTAAACTTAAAATATATAAAAAAGCCTAAATAATAAAAATTAAATATAATATAAGCTTTAAGCCTATAACTTATAGTTTAATAACTTAACTAAACTAAATAAGCTAATTATTTTATTAAGTTATAAAAGGTAGTAATAATTTTTAAAAATAAATTATATATATAATATAAAAAACTACTTAATAAAATAATATACCTTATATAAAAGTAATAAACCCTTAAAATAACTATAAAATAAGTTAATAATTAACTAAAGTTTATTATAAATAGCTATAATAGCTAAAAGTAATAAAAAATTAATAATAATTATTACTAAAATAATAACTACTATTATAAAAACTTATAATTTTAATATTATTAATATTATAAAAAAGGTTTACTAAAGCCTAAAGAATAAATAAGGCAGAAGAGGGTAATTTAAATTAATTATAAAAGAGAAAATATAAATTAATTAGGCTATTACTAAGTAAAAGAATTAGTAAAGTATTATTAACTAATAGCTACTAAATAAAGGTTTAATAATAATTATTCTAATTTTAGCTTTTAGGTAGTTTATCCTTTATACTTAAAAAAGAAACTTTTTTTATAATATTAATAATATTAAAATTATAAATTTTTATAATAAAAATTATTATTTTAGTAATAGTTATTATTAATTTTTTATTACTTTTAGTTATTATAATTATTTATAATTTTAATTAATTATTAATTTATTTTTTATTATAAAAGTTTATTATTTTTAAAATATATTATTTTATTAAATAATATTTTAATTTTAAAAATATTATATATATAATTTATTTTTAAAAATTATTATTACTTTTTATAATATAAAAATTATATTTATTATTAAAAAGTTTAATAAAGCTATAATAACTAAGTTAAAAAAAACTATACCCTAGCTTTTAATATATTAAAAAAGTAAAAAAAAAAAAAAGTTTTTAATATAAAAAAATTATATAAAGGTTATATTTATTATTAAAAGGTTTAATAAAGCTATAATAACTAAGTTAAAGAAAAACTATACCTTAACCTTTAGTTTAAAATCTAAAATTAATTTATAGCTTAACTTAATTAACTATAGTTAATTAAATTAAACCTTAAAAATTTAGGTTATAAAGTATAATTATTAATTAAAATTTAAAATTAAACTTAAAATATAGAAAAAAGCCTAAATAATAAAGTTTAAGTATAATATAAGTTTTAAGCTTATAATTTATAATTTAATAACTTAACTAAACTAAATAAAATTATTTTATTAAGTTATAAAAAATAATAATAATTTTACTTAAAATTAAATTATATATATAATATTTTTAAAATTAAAAAATTACTTAATAAAATAATATATTATAAAAGTAATAAACTTTTATAATCATTATAAAATAAATTAATAATTAATTAAAATTTTATATATAAATAATTATAATAGCTAAAAATAATAAAAAACTAATAATAATTATTATTAAAATAATAATAATTATTATTAAAATAATAATAATTATTATTATAAAAACTTATAATTTTAATATTATTAATATTATAAAAAAAGTTTACTAAATTATAAAGTATAAATAAAATAAAAAAAAGTAACTTAAATTAATTATAAAAAAGGAAATATAAATTAATAAAGCTATTACTAAGTAAAAAAATTAGTAAAATATTAGCTAATAATTACTAAATAAAAGTTTAATAATAATTATTTTAATTTTAGTTTTTATATAGTTTATTTTTTATACTTAAGAAAAAAATATAACTTTTATATATATAATTTATTTTTTAAAAATTATTACTATTTCTTATAATTTAATTAAATAATTAATTTATTTAATTTAGTTAAGTTATTAAATTATAAATTATAAACTTAAAGCTTATATTATACTTAAACTTTATTATTTAGGCTTATATATATATATATATATATATATATATATATATTAAAGTTTAGTTTTAAATTTTAATTAATAATTATATTTTATAATTTAAATTTTTAAAATTTAACTTAATCAGCTATAATTAATTAAATTAAATTATAAATTTATTTTAGATTTAAAACTAAAGGCTAAGGTATAGTTTTTCTTTAATTTAATTATTATAGTTTTACTAAATCTTTTAATAATAAATATAACTTTTATATTTTATAATTTACTTTTTTTTAAAATTTTACTTTATTAATAATAATTAATTTAGTTATTACCTTTAGGTACTAGGGGTATTTTAAGTAAGGGTTTATATTATAAAAGGTATTTAGTAAAAACTTTAGTAATAATTTTTATACTTTTATAATAATTTTCTACTTTAACTTTATTACTTATAATAATAACTAGCCTAAAAAGTTAACTAAATTACTAATTAAAAACTACCCTTAGGCTCTTAAGTATAACTTTACTTAACTTTTTAATAATAAATATAATTTTTATATAAATTTATAAAAAAAATTATTTAGTTTTAATTTATATATTTATATTAATATTTATAATTATATTATAATTCAAGGAATAATATATATAAGAATACAATCTATTAATACTTTTTGAAAAACTTATTATTTAATTAAAGTATTTTTTATTTTTTTTTGCAAAAATAACTTATATTATTTCTTTTTTAAAACTCTTACTTTCTTTTTATTATTTTTCAAGTTAAACCCCCCCCCCATTACTATAACAGGTTAATTAATCATTCTATTATAACCTTACTCTTAGTTAAGTATATTTCAACGTATGTTTTCGGGGTATTTAGCTCATTGATTGCACTACCCCGATAGCTTGGTGCGTGCATGTGAGCTACATCCCGCATGCACAGCTACCAGGCAGGTACCTCTAACCGGTATAAAGCGTGCAGTGCCCCGTTGACATCATCACCTGCATGTCACTGCTTGGATTTTTGGATTCTCAGCAGTTTGAGACACCATGGCCGAATATGGTCGCATAGATCCATTTTCTTTCGCAGCATCTCGAGATATTGAAAGCCCAGTCAGTATTCGAATGTAAGCCATCGTCGAAGTCTCATCGGCAGTGTAACATCAGCTAACCACTATCTCAGAATTGGTATAGATGGAGACGGGCGTCCTACGAAGTATTCGACACTCCTTGAGAGGCCTCAGGTCCGCCATATTGGTTCAAATACGAGGTGTGCTGTGATTCAAGAGACAACGATGGGAAATAGTGTTCTGATGGCTAGATATGCAGTTTTTCCTCCGAGCTGTATGTCACGGTTCAAGTCTGGGCCGGTTCCAAGGCCCTGACTGTACCTATCCAGACATCATATAAATCACCTCGTCCAGAAAGAAGGTATGCGTGGCACATTTGAGCGACTCTAGTGAGCAGTACGGTTAACATGGGAATGTGACTCGTTAGATGGAATGAATGGTTGCGGCTACCAATATCATACAAGTCGATCCCCACCAACTCCCGGTTGGCTATCACGATATGGGATCTTTCACCAGACTCAAGCAAAGCCGATCTTTGCCATGCGACTCCATTCGGAGGAACCACTCTTGCTCTGTTTGGCGATGACAACCAGGTTGTTAGAGGCCGACAAAAGTGCTACATCCATAAATACAAGCATGCCGACGGAACTGACGATACGACAACGCCTGCGGTCGTTGGAAGCAACGGAAAGGGAGCACCGCAGTTGACCAACTACACAGAAGAGCTGGAAAGAATGGAAAGCTTATTTAAGAAGCACGAGATGGGCGAGATACCCCGAGTGGATTGGCTTGACCAAATGGTATTCAGGGGTTTTGAAAAGAAGGGATTACATGCCGCCAAGCTATCAACCAGACTACGCCAGCAAGATCCCACGGCGAACGGTCGTGACATCAACGTGGCGCACGATACTCTAGACCTCTCTGGCGAAGACACACCGGACCCTTATGCATGCGTGCTCAATGTTGAACTTCCTCGATTCGATTTTCCTGTTGTTTTTGCGGATCACGAATACGAGCCTCCCCCAATCTCAGCTCTGCAGTCACTGTCTGCCTCGCAAATTGTAGCACAGAGACAACCTGAGGTTCAATTTGGTCCTGGAATCAAGGCTATTGGCGAGGGCTCAGCGGACCTTGGGTCTCGTCTCGTGATGATACACGATCCTGAAGTAGGGCAGAGGGATAACCCGGCCGAAGCGAAACACAGGCGCCTCTTCCGAAGTTCTCATCGGCATGGTATCCTAGACCGAGATTTAAAACCCAACGCAAAAGTTCGTGATGAGCTAAATGTCATCATGTCATATCCGCCAACACACATTTTGTCTCCGGAAGAGGCAGACCTTGTTTGGAAGTTTAGATATCATCTAACTAAGGACAAGCGAGGTTTGGCCAAATTTGTCAGGTCCGTCAACTGGAACGATCAGGGAGAATTGAAACAAGCCGTTCAAGTTCTTAGTCGCTGGACGGAAATTGACGTGGATGACGCACTTGGGATGCTAGGGCCGTCATTTGACAACCCTACCGTCCGGTCGTACGCTGTTAATCGTTTACGAAAAGCCGACGACAACGAGTTACTTCTCTACTTACTTCAGCTCGTACAAGCTCTCAAGTATGAGTACATGTCATCTGACTCTGGCGTGGACAATATTCAAGACTCACCGCTAGCGCGGTTTTTGATTCAACGTGCCGCGGCAAACTTCATGCTTGGCAACTATTTTCACTGGTATCTCATGGTCGAATGCGACGACTACAGCCCAGAGCAGGATGTCCGCAATCGAGAAATATATCGCAAAGTTGCGTACGAGTTTATGATGGAACTCGTCAAGCAGCCAGATGGTAACGAATCTCGGAAGACGCTCCTGCGGCAGGCTGAACTTCTTGCTATATTGTCAAGGATTGCAAACGACATCAAATTGTCAAGCGAATCAATTGCCAAAAAAACAGACCGAGTAAAGGCATTTCTCGGAGACCCAAAGAACGAGCTTATGAGCATTGATCCGCCCCTGGCAATGCCCCTTGACCCTTCCATTAAAATTATCAGTGTGATACCGGACCAAGTCACGGTATTCAAGTCATCACTCAATCCAATCAAGTGTACCTTCAAAACCACAACGGGAAGCCAGTACCCCATCATATTCAAGCTCGGCGATGATCTAAGACAAGACCAACTGGTCATTCAAATCATTACCCTGATGGACGAGTTACTCCAAAAAGAAAACCTTGATCTGAAACTGTCACCTTATAAAATCCTAGCGACGAGCACAACGGCCGGTGCTTCTCAGTTTGTGCAGTCGCAGAGTTTATCAAGCATTGTTAACAAATTCAAGAACAATCCGGCCTTGGCCTATCTCAAGCACCATAACCCGGACGACCGACAGCCGCTTGGCGTTCGACAGGATACCTTAGACACATACGTTAAATCGTGTGCGGGATACTGTGTTATTACTTACATTCTTGGAGTTGGCGACAGGCATCTTGATAACCTTTTACTGGCTCCAGATGGGCATTTCTTCCATGCTGACTTTGGATACATCCTTGGTCGTGATCCTAAACCCTTTGCTCCCGTAATGAAGCTTTCCAAAGAGATGGTCGATTGCATGGGCGGAGTGCAGTCGGAGCATTACAGACAGTTCAAGCAGTATTGCTTTTTAGCTTACACCGCATTACGAAAATCATCGAACCTAATTCTCAATTTGTTTAGTCTGATGGTCCACGCCAATATCCCAGATATTCGACTTGAGCCGGACAAGGCTGTGTCAAAAGTCAGGGAGAGATTTCACCTTGAGATGGGTGAGGAAGAAGCGATCCGCTACTTTGAGAGGGTTATTGAAGATACTCTAACTGCGTTTGCGCCTGTTGTTATTGACAAGTTGCATGAGTGGGCACAGGCTCTCAGGGCTTAGACGAATAGAGATAGGGAGCGCATTGACTAAAGTTTACAATGCCTACTACTACTACTACTACTACTACTACTACTACTACTACTACTACTACTACTACTACTACTACTGTAGGATAGTTTATTTCGTGATGTTGCAGAATTCCACGAGGCTACAATGATATCCTATGAGACTCTTCATCTGTCCATTAGTCCTTCAGATTCCATTTCCTGAATGATACACACGGGTCTGTATGACTCCGGTTTATACGCATCTTGACTGGTGGGAATGCCCGGTATGGCCTTACTAACTATAATTACATGGATGCCCGTGATAAACGAATCTAAGTTTGACTACAGCCTTGACCTTTAAGTGGTGAGGATTCAAGTATCACCAAACACGAATATGCCCTTGCCTCTTCTAAACCCTTGGAGGCCGCCCTGCACTTCTTGTGTCAGGGTGGAGATGTCAGTGTCCCAGTTCCACGCCACTTCGTCCAGGGGAACATCTTGAAATTTGCCTTGGCGGATCAGATCCACAATGTAATCGATCATATGCTTGCGCCCAGCGACGTCCTGCTGATTCCAGCGGGATAGCCAGAAGCCGACAAAGCGGATGTCTTTGAATATGAGCAAGCCAACGGGAAGGGCAACTGGCTGCTTGGCCATGCCACCGTACGACACCATCGTGGCACCTTCGCTGAGCGAGCGAGCGAGGGCCGTGGCAGATTTGCCGCCGACGCAATTCAGGCCCAGCCCAATCTGGTCGCGGCCTTTGTTTGTGATTTCCGCCAGCTGGTCTCTCCACTCCCGCCACAGAAACTGCGTTTCCGTTACAACTACATCGGCACCAAGGCCAACAAGTTCCGCTTTCAACGCCTCGGTTTCTTCAGGAGAGCTTCGTTCCCGCACGATGTTGATGCTCCTCAGCCCCCAGAGCTTGCCGAGCTGTATGGCGGCTCTTCCAACTCCCGAGTTTGCCCCGTTCTGGATGAACCATTCGCCACTGCCCACCTCCAGCGGTCGCATCCCAATGCCGCCCAGTCCAGTGCTGGGGCCATATGCCCTCAGAATGCGATATGCTGTGCTGGGATTGACAGATATGGTTGCCGCCTGAGTCGCACGCAGTCCCTCCTTGTCGATCTTCAAGACCTGATCTAGCTCTGCAACGGCATGTGTCCTCCATGTGCCGAATTGCGCAACGGCCGGGATGACCCAATCCCCCTTACGAATGGGTGACGCCGGATCGCCCGTTGAAACAACTTCGAAGACACCCTCGTTTCCTGGGATGACGGACGGGCTGGACGTCCCTATTAAAGATGTAAAGCTAGGCTGAGAGCCATAAGTCCCTTGAATGGTGTTTATATCGGCAGGGTTAATGGGCGCCGCAAGAGACCGCAACAAGACGGATTTGGAAGAAATCGAGGGCGAAATGGAAAATGTGTGTAGCCTTGACCATTGTCAGTTTGAGATTCTTCCTTCGTTTCCTATCGCAGAGCGAGTAAATGCCCACTGTAGTACATCGGATGGCTCTCCATTCTTGGAGAAGACAAGAGCCTTGGCCTGAGTGTAGCCGTACGGACCTGATTTCCGCCGAACGGTTTGTTGCGACAAAGGGCTGTCGATCCGCATTTCCAGGACGCGCCCGGTCCGCGACAGAGCGCGCAGGCTGTGGTGAGAACGGCTCAGCATGGCTGTCGGAAATTCGTGAAGGGAGGACAAGATATTCAAGTATCGGCGGCCATTGATAGCTGGCATAACCGGGAGGTTGAAGCAAGTCAATTGCTGGGCGCAGCTTGCTACATCATGGAGTTGCCTTAGCTGCCCCTCCAACCCCACCATGTATGGATGCTAGAGTAAACAACGCGGTATGGGGTGCCGAGGTACAAGATGTTGATGGCAGCTTTTCTATGGTGTTTCCGGAAGTAAAATGGATATACAACACGACTACAAAGTGAACCAGCAGTGTCTATGTCTGTGCATGCACCCAAGAGACTAAGAAGACAGTATTCCCCTGACAATACTCATCACAGCATACATCTCACGGTTGGGGGGTATTATAGAGTTGCTCCGCATTTGTATTTAAATGACCTCCTTTTATATTTGACATCGCCCAATGTAATACCATCTCTTGACGGATAGCTGACTCAAGCAACAAGATTGTAATCTACTGAGTTGCTGAACTCTCCCGCGCCAAGATCTAAGTATGTTGAGTTAGCTATCATCTCTTATGGATAGAAATTGTAGAATGGAAACGTACCAAAGCAGTTCGGCAAGGAATATAAACATGTGTCCAATTTTTCCTTCCATTCCACTCCATAGCGGTCGTGAAGAAACGTGTTTCTTCATCAATCCGGTTATGGCCACCAACTCTTTCTGCGTCGCTGTTCAACACTATTTTGTAGGTTCCAGGCGCGTCGACTCCGATACGGTAGTCGCTGAAGCTTCGGTCTGTGTGGAAGTTGAAGATGAACACGAGTCCTGCCCTCTCGAATACAATTATCTTGTCTCCTTCGTGCTTCAAGGAGATATAAGCCTGGGGAGCGTGTAACCAGCCATGTTGTGCTTCGCACTCATTCATCAACTTGTCGAAGGTGTTCAGGAATTTGTATCGGAGCAGGTTATCTTCTGTGAGGTTGAACTGTCGACGGGCATACCAAAAGGAATTGTTGTTTCCTGCTCGAGGGAAATCTAGCCATTCAGGATGGCCAAATTCGTTGCCTTCAAAGTTGAGATAACCCTCTCCACCCAGACCATGAGTAAGAAGTCGAATCATCTTGTGCAGTGCAATTCCACGATCAATCACAGGTGTCAATGGTGACAAGGTCGACATGTGAGTGTACATTTCTGCATCGCACAAGTGCATCATCAGTGTTTTATCTCCAACAAGTCTAGTGCTCAGTTGTTAGCCACGATTCCATCGTCATCAATCATTAGTAGTGGAGTGCATACGCTTGATCATGGCTTTCGCAATAGGCAATGGTTTTTTCACCATGGCGTCTGTTGGTCAGAGTAAAACAGATGTTGGCAAGATCCCATTGCTCGTCTTTGAGCTCCTTTAGAATCTTGATCCACATATCAGGAATGGCCATAGCAAGTCGATAATCGAATCCTATACCACCAAGTGAAAGCGGGAGGCAAAGAGCTGGCATTCCTGACACGTCTTCAGCAACAGTGACACACTCGGGATAGAGCGAATGCAGCATCTCGTTAGCAACCATCAAATACACAACAGCTTCCTCATCAACATCGGGGCCGAAGTATTCATGGTATCCACCGGAGAAGCCACTGAAATTGATTCATTAGCAAATACTAGAGTATGAGACAGAGGGGGAAGAGCCAATAGACGTACGTTCCAATTCCATGGTGGAGGTAAAGCATACTGGTGACACCGTCAAAGCGGAAGCCGTCGAAGTGATACTCATCCATCCAGAATCGGAGATTGCTTAGTAAAAATCGCATGACTTCGTGGTGACCATAGTTGAAGAGTCTGCTGTCCCAAAGGTCATGGTTACCTTTTCCGCCACTGTGAAAGTATTGGTGGTCCGTTCCATCGAATTGGTTTAGGCCATCAAGTACGTTCTTTGACGCATGGCTGTGAACAACATCCAGGAGGACGACAATTCCCATCTTATGAGCGGTATCAACAAGCTTCTTCAACCCCTCGGGAGTTCCATATCGGCTGCTGGCTGCGAAGAAGCTGTTGACTTGGTATCCAAAGCTAGCATAATAGGCATGTTCCATGATGGCCATCAGCTGAATGGCGTTGTAACCAAGGTCCTTGATTCTGGGAAGTACATTTTCAGTAAACTCTTCATACGTGGTGACGCGCTGCTCTGGCGATGAGATTCCGACATGGGCTTCATATATTCTGATGCTCTGCGGCTTTTGAGGCCGTGAGTGCTGAAATGCGTATTTTTCCGACGGCGCTGGGCTCCAAAATCGAGCGTCATACACCGGCGAAACAGAGAGATCTTGGGTGACGTATTTAATCCAGGCTGGCAAACGATCGATTCTGTGCCCTCCAGGGAGTACAAGGGAAATCTGATAATTAGCTCATGCATGTATACTTTACTCATGAATGTTGGACAAAAGTACCTTGACTTTAGAATTATGGGGTATCGCCTTCTGGCCCCCCTTGGCTGGGACTGTGATCTCGAACACGCCATATGCATTCTTCTGCATTGGGTGGGACGTGAAATTCCAACCGTCTGTACCGTACGTTAATCAAACTGGTGGTGTCTCAAGGTCCAAGGTAACAAGACTCACTGAAATCTCCTACGAGATATGCCTGTTCGGCGTTTGGCGCCCACTCGCGATATATAACGTTGTTCTTCTCATCCACATTGAAGCCGAAGATGTCAGTGCCCTGTGAAAGGTAGGGTCAGTCACCGAGAAGAAGCAGAAGAAGCAGCAAGCTGGAGGGCCAAAGCAGCAGCTCGTACCTTGGAGAATTTGTCAAAGCCACCTTCGGTTTCGTTGATAACTTTGATCCAGTCCTGAGCTTTGGAGTATCGCCTCTTCAGCGCATCGCCGAATGGGGCTAGCCATGGGTCTAGCTGGATGACGCCTTCAATTAGAGTTAGCCAAAATGATATCGTGACCCATTCGCCCTTTGTTATAACAAACCTGTGCCATCCTGGGGGATATCTTGCTTGTCTTTCGGAGCTGCCATGGCGCAGAATTGCTTGGGCGTGGGAGGCGGGGTAGCTTCGATGAGAGCTTTGGGTTGATTGCCTGAAGAACAAAGCTTGATGCCCAGCAGCTATGAGAGATATTAATATATGACGTGCTGATGTAATGAATGCTCTGCAATCAAAATGCGCAGTTTGCGCTAATTGTTTGCAAGTGATGCTACCTCTCCTCTATGTATGGAGGTATGTATCTTCTTGAAGCTTGAAGCTTCATCTCCCAGGTACTAAGTACCTACGCACGAGGTTTAGCTGCGGAACTAACACACACATGGCAGTGGCGAAGTTAGCGTGCTATTAAATTCTCTTACACCGTTAATTCCTATATAATCTTATGATTCTTATCTCATTATTTCAACTCTATAATTAACTAATTATTAATTTTAAACATTTTCCTCAGGCTATTAAACTTCTTTCGCTTAGGTTCTTGTGATAGGAGAGTATTAGCTTGGTTTGCATCAGAGCTACCTTCGTAAAGCTGAAGCTCATCTTGATGGCGGGGTTCTGACGTCAGTTCGTCTTTGACAATAGAGCCGCTAGCTGCGGATCGTCTTCCTGTGTCTCCAAGCGGTGACGTCACTGAAGCTTCATTCGTCTCGCCCTTCCTGTTTTGCAATGGCCAGCCTGTTGCATGGTTGGGTATGACGCTGTTCCGTGTAGACGTTGCGTCTTCACTGTGATGATGCGGTAGAGTATTACGGGCAGCGTCAACGTCGCTGGACTCTTTGACGTTTGCGTGGCTCTTGCGCCTGAGTGTGGAGATGAGCCCTGGTCGGCGAGGCGACGCGCCGGAGAGCTGATCAAGAGGTATATGTGGGCTCTCCTCATTGTGGTGTTGGTCGACTCTGGGTTTGGGCGCATCGCGTTTTGGCAAACCGGAATTGAAACCTGCGCTGGCACTGAAATTTTGGTCAGGGAGGTTGTTGCGTGCATACATGTTCAGAATAGATTGTTTCAACCTCGAGTGAACGGGTTCGAATTCATCACCCGTGATGGAGCCGTTTGTCAACGGAGTTGTGTTCATGTCATCATCACTGGAATCTGAAATGTGATCGCCGTATGTCGAATCCTCGTCTCTCTTTGATAGAGATTGGCTGATATGTGGCGCAATTGAGTGTCGCTGGAACGGCTGACGCTTTGGATTCTCTACTAACTGCCGAGAAGGAGCAGCTGGCGCAGCAGAATGATGCCTCTGATGTGCCGTTGTGGGTGATAACGAACGTAACGTCAGCCTGTTTCTACCCTTATTACCAGATGATGATGGCTTTGAATCGAAAGAGCTGCTTCGCATCGATGACCTAAATCCACTTCGAGGACTGACAATAGACCTACTACGTACGAAACTGCTCTCACTGGAGTCGGATCCTCGTCGCCGTAAAGTAGGCTTCATGGCAGTATTTACCGGAGGTTCTGCAGTCGAGCTGTGTGCCGCATATTCCTTTGGACGTCTTAGACTATACTCTGTTGAGACGATCGGGTCGTAAGATGATCTGGGTATGGTGGTAGGGCCACGGAGCTCGTCACCTATGTACTTCTGTTCATTACTCGCTGAGCGTTTTGGCCGCGCTAATTTTTGTAACCTGCGTCCCATCGCCAAGCCGGTGCGTGCCGTGGTAGTTGGTTGCTGCAGCGAGCCTTGCCCTCCCTGAGCATCTGTCATGGCAAAATCAGTATGTCGCACAGGCTCTTTTCCTATTTTCATTTCCATCTTGGTGTTGGTATTAGTCTTGGACAGAGTTCGAGATCTATCGGCCGGCTTGGAATTGATCGACTGCTGTCTTGCTTCGTCAGGCGATACCATTGCGGTTCGCAAAAGACGTTCCTTCTGGGATCGTTGCCGTTGACTCCTCTGTTCTAAATTAGAGGAGTGACCCGAGACATCGGTCAAGGTTGTAGTTCGTTTTGTGGATACAGGCTCCCGTATAGCCTCATCGTCGGCTTCCCGAAGGGCCTCCATTTCGAGCTGGCGTCTCTCCTCAGAGCTAAGGCTTTTCCAGTATGCTTTAGCCTTCTCCCAATCCTCAGATGATTGAATGGGGGCACTTGTAGTGTTCTCCAACGGCTTCCCTCCAGTGCTTGCATTGATACGCGATTTGTTGCCGTTTACACCTGCCATGGGTGAACTGACCAGCGCAGCATCAAGAGACATGAATCCACCGTCGTCAACATCGGATAGATCTTCGTACGCATCGATGTAAATACTATCCATGTCTGAATCGTGTTCTTCTTGGTTGCTAGTCTTATATCCTGAGACCTGTGCTAATATAGGCGTGATAGATGCGTTTGTTTCGTCCATATGGAGCCTGGTGACATCTTCATCCTCTGGGAAGCTTCCCGGAAGAGAGTTTGGCTCAGTCGTAGGTGAAATATCATGATGTATCGCCGGAGGATCCGCATTTGAACTAGAAATGCCTGGCGACTTATTCAATGCCTTCGCGTCTGATGCTTTTGATTTTTCGTCAGGCAACACGTCAGTGAGCGGGCTTGAGTTTGCCGATACATCTTTTGACGATTTTTGAACCATTGACTGCTCTGTGCCGGTTGAGACATCTTCGAACAGCTCATCTCCGGAACTATACATGTCTTCGCTCACATGTCCAAGACTTTCGGTAGACGCGATGATTGCTGGTAATGGCTCCCGATATTTAGAAATATTCGCTACATTTCTTGGAGTCTGTCCGCGACCATAATGGAACGCCTTGGCTGACTCTATTGGCGAGGGAATTTCATCTTTGGCAATGGAAGACAATGTTTGAGAACTGGCCGGTGGTAGCGGTTGGGGGGAAAGCGAATGTTCACGCGGACGAACAAGCTGCCGTTCTTCGGGCTCTTTCCCCTTTTTATCACGCACACTCCCAAATAATGGGAGTGCTGGTCGAGGAGACATTAATTCGTCTTGTTGCGGGGAAGACGTCCTGTTTGCTTTCGCGTTGTCGGCGGTACCCTGTGTATTATGTCTTAATTGAAGGCCGTGCACTGCTGAAAAGTCTGCTCCTTCAAAATTGCCAGGCTCAGCAACTACAACTGCGCTATTGTCGTTCCAGCTTACTCTAGCACTTTTCTTCTGGCTTGCTGTGGAATCATCCTTGCTAGAGTGAGAAGTACCGATGAATGGATAGTCCGTATTCTCATTAGGGTGCGACGGCTGAGTTCCACGACTCGAAATGGCAGATTTAAGGGCTGACTTTCTAGGAGACAGAGATCGTGGAGGAGGTTCGTGCTTAACGACCAACTGATCAGTTGATGATGCAAAATGAGCTGATCGAACAGATGTCTCTGAACCGGATCCGGCATAAGAAACTGGTATCTCGGTTTTCGTACTGTCCCAGTTCGCGAATCCAGATGTCAAACTTGGCTCAATATCAGATTCGGAGGCTTCGTTTTGAGAAGTATTCTGGTTCTGCCAATCCCGAGATCCTTTCGCTTCAAGCTCCCTCTCCTGTGATAGCGTTTCTGTTGCCATCGTCGGCATCAATGTGTTAACATCCGGACTCTCCCTCCCTAAAGATCTGCCAGCCGCGTGTGATTGGCTGGTTGCCATTGCAAAGGGTTCCGGCTGAACGTCGCTGGGTATTACTGGCTTCATTTCATCGTTTCGCTCTTGTGGTATATGATCCTGATGGGCTGGTTTTGTTCCTTTTACTTTCTCAGTCGGTTTTGTGCCCTCAATTGGATGACTAGCTTGCACAAGTGCGTCCCTCGGGACCATTCTTCTTGAATTCGGGTCATACACAAGGTCGTCGGATGTCATGTGTGAGTCGTATGTTATCCTTGCACGAGGATATGAGAAGTTTATAGATGAGCTGACACTCCCCGAACGGGATTCAGGTAAATCGGGTGTCAATTCTGGCAAAACTTCTGTCCCCTTCTCCTGGTATGCATCATGAACAGTGGCTGCCCCAAACCAGGAGCCTTGCTGGTTGCCTCGCGACTTTTGGCTTGCGGTTTGGAAATTTTGAGTCCGTAATGGCATCGCGACGGCCTTGGAGGTTGGGATAGTGGGCACAGGGGGTACATCTTGTTTTCCGAGAGGCGTGTGACCAGGCGATGGTGATCGTCGAAACGTTCGTTCGCTCATGGAACTCACGCTAGGGCTTCTGTGCAGCTTACTCTTGCCTCGGTCGCGGCCGATGGGAGACGACAGCGAGGCGGTGCGGCGCTGGCTTCTTTTCGAAGAGATTTGCGCAACATTTGTCGGTGGATTTGGCTGCGCCCGTAAGGCGGCAGCGGCTGCAGCTGAAGATAGAGACGATGACGTGGTTGGATTGCCTCGCATGAAGGCGGATGCGGCGGCGGTAGCGGCATTGGGATCGGCCGTTTCCTTTGTCAGAGGCTGTGATAACTTAGCTGTCTGCGCAAGTATTATCGCGAATCACCTGCCGTATCAAAGGGGATACAGCCGTAATGTAGGGGATTGAAATCGCCGCTGATTTGCGAAGAAATAATGTTGGCGCACGATGCCAGAGCTTAAACCCTTACCTGAAGCGAGTGGTCGCGTCGTCGCGATAGCTTAAACATGGCGGATACAGCGGATTGCGCCCCCGAAGCTTGTTTCTACACGCGGCTGCTACAGCATGTAGGGAAAAAATGAACAAACTGAAAGATGAAGGAAGGAAAACGAAGCGTAAACGATGGACAAGAAAGATATTGGGTAAAATTACTGCTGAGATGAGATTGGGAAAACGTACCGAATACATCATCCTCGCGATGATGTGGAGAGGCTAAGGCTTAGTAGACTCTAAGTACCAAGTAGTTCCGGGCTAAGCCGTATGCAGCCTGCGCTCTCGGGCTCTTACTTCCTGGCAGACTTTATTCAAAACGACCTCTTCCGCATACAAATCATGTGCGACTGCTTTTCCTCTCTGCCCTTACTTCTACCTAGTAGACACCCCGAACTTGGCTAGATGTTAGACATTTGATTGCACTTTGTTTTTGTTTTTTTGTTGTACCGCGAATACTTGTTTTCTCCTCCCCCTCCCTCTTCTGGTGCTTACAGTATTCAATGGCACCATCCTCGCCGCGACGATCATCCAGAGCTCGCACGTTGGCTTCTCATTCTCAACAGTCCCTCTCATCGACCAATTTTACCCGTCTCGAGCGACATACACGATCCCTTAACCGACCTCCTTCGGGCAAATCCACGCCTAGTGCATCTGTATCGTCCGATCCGCTTGACGACATAGACGATACGCTGCTTGGCCGGAGGCGAAAACGCGGCCACGACGACGAGCAATACAAGGGCTTGCGAAACGAGGCTCTCGACATGTCCAACGAGCCAGATCCATTGCAAGACGAAGAGGATGAGGCGGTTCGGTGTATCTGTGGCTGCGAAGACTACCCCGGTCGTCCTCCCGTTGATGGTTCAGACGCCTACTTCCTCGCCTCAATTGAACTAAGTGAAGATGTTACCGGGTTTTTTGTGCAGTGCGATATTTGCAAAGTGTGGCAGCACGGAGCATGTGTCGGCATATTTAGCGCTGAGAGCTCTCCTGAAGAGTATTTCTGCGAACAGTGTCGAAAAGATCTTCACAAAATACAAACAGCAAATAACGGGTAAGGCAGTCCTTCTGTTGCGTCGTTTCTGAGCAAACTCTAACAGGTCGACCACGCTTTCCGTTAGACAAAAATACTCCAAATATCTGCCTCTGAGCCGACCTGCTCGAACTTCATCTCGGGCTACTTCTATAGCGAAGGACGGTGCTCGATCTCCCCGGTTGGGTAGCGCGAAGTCCGTTCGATCTCAATCAACCTCACAGATATCTAAACGCCGATCTACAATGAACAGCCGCGATGCAGCATATGACGATGAACAGTTACGACGAGCAATTGAAGCGAGCAAGGAAGAGGTTGGGCAAGACGGCACAGAGAGTGTTATTAGGCGTACAAAACGGGTACGCAGCAATAGCGAAGAGTTCGTGCCCTTTTCTACGATTCATAAATATTTGGAATTTCCGTTAATCTCCCTCGCAGAAACCATGTCACTGTTAAACGGCAACGCACAAATTCGCAATCCCCTTCGCCGCCTCCAAAACCAATGGACACCATCAGCCAAGAAAACACAGATGACGAAAGCAATGGTCGCGGCGAGCACAAGAGATTGCGCGCCTATAAAGGCACAGAGAAATCAGACAAGGAGGAGAAAGATCGTCTGCGGCAAGAGAACGCGAGCAAACGGAAGGGGCGGGCCGATAGGCGACGTACTGAAGGTAAGTCAAGCGGCTCAAAGACGAGACGCGTTAGGCCAGACACTTACAGAAATGCAGATTCCGATGTATCAGAGGAAGTAAACCCGCCGTCCATGAAGACTCCTGTTATAAAGAGCGCAGAACCATCGACTTTCCCCGAACCAGCCCCAGTACCGTCCCCGATTCCCGGAACCCCTCCTACAAGTCACTCTTCAACCGCAAATATCCAAAAGCGAACCTCACGGAGCAATCACAAGAAGGGCAAGGGGAAGAACCAATACACAAAGGATCGAAATACGGAAACTGAGCATTCGCCCGCCCGATCTGTATCACGAGACGCCCAACGACCGACCAATGCGACAACATCTGCACATGCTAAGCATACTAGCGACCACAAGGGCAGCTCAAAAACAAAGTTGGGTATCGCCGGTCGAATGAGCATGCTGGATATGAAGCGGCGGGTGGCTGCAATAATGGACTTCATCTCCAGAACCCAGGTCGATTTAGCAGCCGAAGCAACGTTGGATCGCAGCAACAACTCGACGAATCAGCACTCACAGGATCCTACCACGTCCCCAACCGACACTCCCATGTCCAAGGATTTTAAAGATTTAAGTTGCATCGAGATGATGGATGTTCTTACACGAGATATGGTCAAGTGGCAAAATCAATACGCATAATATGCATAACAACGGATACGGCCGCCCCTAACTCGTTGTTTAAGAATCATCATCCATCTACTACATAATACCCAGGCTGTTCGGTTGAGTTTCTCTTGTTTCCTTTTTTCGGGTAGAAGTCAGGAGTTCATGACATGTCTTATTTGAGGTCTGAATCATTATTCCTTTACGACCTAATGATGGATGGGAATCATCACTGCCAGCTTTTAGCTAGCTAGGCTGGTTTTTCTTCTTCTTCTTCCTTTCCCTCTCTTTACCCGTCGTTCTACATGTTGGGAGAGGCTCTCGTGACTTGCGACGTACAAACACTACATAGGATCTATCTTATACTCATTTGCCAGCTATGTCATGCGAACTCAATGTAGTTCAAACAACAGGCAATCAAAACGCCGTTCAACGTAAATGGTCATGAATTGCTAGGTCTGGTTTCTTCTATGCGTTGGTTTCTTTCCTCTGTTCTTTCCATGCTTTTTTCCCTTGGTTCAGGCTTACCGGGGGACTGGATGCCATCAACTCATGACGTTGAAGGGCTTCATCAGAGAGATCATCCAACACGTATCTGCCTAGTTTACCCTTCCGCCACTCGGACAGCACCCTGGCAGCGGACTCTCCCATATCCGGGACGCCACCAGCCTTCAGCTTGCCATCCCGCTTCGCCACGGCGAGCAAGAACTCGTGAATATCGTTTGTTGGACTGCAGTATCGATGGTAGAGGTGGGGATCCCAGAGATTCATCTTGTAGAGCAGGTAGTCTGCCAATATCTCATCCGCTATGAGACCTTTCTTGATACCCTGTACGAGCGAGATTTTGATCATTGTCTCTCCATCTTCGACATACGGGACAAAGACTCCTGGTGAATCGAGCACATATACACCAGCGCCGACCCCCCCTCTCTCCTCCGGTTCAATAACGCGAACACTTGTTCCGATTTTACGGGTTACGCCTGCCTGGTCACCTGTCTTGGCTACTTTGGTCGTCCTCCCGGTTGTCCCAGTGCTTCTAAGGGCGTTCAGCAACGTACTCTTACCCACATTGGGCATGCCCACTATCAGCGCGCAAAGCCCTGTTATTGAGTCTACTTCGTAAGCGGTCTCCTTGAGCCGTTTCAGCAGCGAGGCTGTGCTTGAGGCGCGGTTCTTGTCCCAAAACATTGCTCGTCGCCCATGAAGCTTCTGCAGCAATTGCCGCGCGCCGGGACTGTCGCTTCCTAAATCATGTTTCGTATATACAATGAGTTTCGGACAGCCAGCAACTGCTTTTTCAAGAATGGGATTGTGAGTTGATAAAGGTAGTCGAAAGTCCCGGCACTCAATGACGAGAGATATCCTTGAGAGAACCGTCTTCAATTTACTGACAGCGGCTTGGTGATGGCCCAGGAAATATGACTTTGGAACTGATGAAGGGACACCAAATGAACGGCGGGGGACGAACTGTGCCATACTAGACGTAGATTGCCATGTACATGTTCTGGAGTAGCAATTGAGGCGGACCAGGAAAACTTCTGTTAATAGCAAATTATGGAGACTCGAGATATCGATATCACGATACTACCTGAGGTGGTTAGTAAGGTACCAAGTAGATTCAGAGCTTGAACCAAGTGGGTACCTACTACCTAGTAGGTAGTACCTCTAAGCAAACAAAGCCACTACTGCTAAGGGTAGATGGTACAACCAAGTTACCTCCGGGCAGCTACGAGTGTTGAGGTGGAAATGTACCTTGCCATGCAGAAAAAGTGCCTAGGTACCTTCTATTACCCACATGAGGTACGTCACCTCAAGGATTAAAAGCGCGTTATTAAGCGCCCCAAATTTAAATAATGTTAAGAATGTGTATAAATGAAATAAGATTTGTTCTTAATTAAAGTAATACGAAAATAAGTAAAGAAAATGCTAATTATATAAACAACCTTTACAGACTTAGTGGTACCTCTTACAGTAGTACCAGGTAATACAGGTACTACAGGTAGGTAAGTACTAGGTAGTTCTACCAGCATCATTGAAGCTATAACTGTACCGGGTACTTCAATTGCTTAGCACTCTTTCAAATATACAAGTATACTATTCATTCAATCAACTATCATCAAAGTTACCAGTTCTGGGATGTTTCTTTCTCGTCCTTATCTAAAGTTTAGCTCATCATTAAATAACTTTGCGATTAATTTTTTTTGGGGGCGGGCTATGTTGAGATTTGCCCGAACAAGTTGACCTACTAGCCGGTTTACCTGTTGCTACCAGTACGAGGTACAGCCTACCTAGCTTCAGAAAAGGTACTCTATAATATAGGGGTCATTCTCCGGGACCGTGACTGCCAGGGTGCTTGCTTGTTCCTCATCAGCGATGATCTGCACGGAGCACCATCCATTGACTGGCAGGTCTCGGACCTCGTTTTACCATCGCGACCAGAGGACAGGATAGTCCGACAAATCATGTCTTCTCAACCCAAGAAGGCCGCAACCGGCTCGCGCTTCGTGCTGCCTGCCCTCAACCTGAATTTTGGCAGCATTACCGACGGCACCAACATCCCTCCTCCTCCGGAGTCTCCGATTGAACCGATTACGCCATCCAAAACGTCCAAGGCCAGCAACGAGAGCTCCGAGGTCAAGGAAAATGCTTCGACGGCGTACGAGAACAAGGTCGGCGTGAGAAGCGTTGCGGAAAACGCGCCGCCTAGTCCCGCGGCTTCTGGTCGACAGGGTAGCGTCTACCTTTCATCAGCTTTTTATTTTGTCAATCAGTTTAATAACAATTTCGCAGAAAGCATCACTCAAGAGAGCGGACGCAGTGTCGCCAATGCGTATCGCCCGGTCAGCCAGAGCGGCTCCAGCGCCGTGGAGTCTGAGAAAACGAAGCGCGCGAGCGGCTGGTTCAAGCGTCTAAGGTCGGGAGACAACCAGTCAAGGAGACGATCGAGTCTTCTCAACCTCGAACAACATATACCCGCGGCGACGCCCAAATTGACTTCTGATAAACCACCTCCTAAGATTCCCCAACTTGTACAGCTCGAGAGCGACAAAGGCGCCTTTGGATCAAATTTGTTCGATCACATTAAATAATACCAACTCAAATATATCACAAAAAATAGACATTTACCTTCAATTGGGCTATTTTTTGTCAAATTTACACCAATTTATTCCGTCGATAGCTCGGCTTCTTAATACAATACAATTAAATTACCTGCTTAAAGTTCATACATCGCCCGGACTACTATCAATCCAGTTTAGGCTTATCCGACTGGTGTGGATATATGGAACGCCTATGACTTAATTTTGCTGCATGGCCGGATTTTATATCCTCCGATCCCTCTTTATTGTTGCATGTAATGGTTCAATCGAGACTTCTCGCACTTCAAATAAGCCGTGGTATTGATCAAGTTTTTATTTAATACTATTCAATTTACAATTATGGACCGCGAACGAGATGGACGGAGTCGGAGGTAAGAATGTTTTCCAAAATTCATTGCTCTACACATTCGTTTCGGGTTTGCGACCGCCCTAGCGCTTTGTTATATCGATCGCGTGGTCATTGGGCAAAGCGCATGGCCATGGTCACGAACTGAACCTTTTTCATGGAGGCCTCATCTGACATGGCTAATTATCACAGATATGATGACGGTGAAGTAGTGAGATATGGCGCCGGAGAGTCATGGAGGCCAACCCCGCGGGAACGATCGCCTAGGAGGCCGAGAAGCCCCATCAGGGATAACAGGGCCAGAAGCCCACCACGAACCAGGAGCCCTCGCCCTCGAAGCCCGATTATTCCAGGATCTGATAGTTACGTTCCTGGGAGATATCCTCCACGAAGGCGCTCACGCAGTGTCGGAGATCGATACCGGCGCGAACGATCCCGAGACCGCGAAAGCCCCCGGAGGCGCGAGAGAAGTCGATCTCCAATCAGAAGATCTCCGTTGCCTCGCCGGAGCCCACTTAGAAGAGAATCGCCGGCTAGAGAGAATAGATATGAGAGGCCACGGTCACCACGACGAGAGTGGGAGCGCGATAGGCCGCGCGACTTGGATCGCGAGCGTGATCGAGATTGGGATCGTGAAAGAACCCGAGTTAGGGACTGGGAGCGCGATCCTGATAGGCGAGACGAGAGGTTAGTACAACATAATGGTAGAAGTGTGTTTTCTTTAATAAAAGGAATCGACTAACTCAAGACTTTGCAGACGGTCACGCTCTCCGTTTGCTCGAGACCGCCGCCGCGAGAGAACACCCCCACCTGGCAAAACGACACCTATCGCTGCACGCGGCGCACCTTATAGGCCACGCTCTCGATCGCCAAACCGACGAGACGATAGATTTCAACCCTTCAAGCGACATTCGCCTCCGCGAGACATTGGACTATTATCCACGATACCGTCTCGGCCCGCTTCGGAGAGGGCAGATTCCCAATCACAATCACAATCTGCAAAGACTCGCTCACCCCTTACATTAGAGGGCTCTCCTCCCCATACCGCTGCTGCGCCAACCTCCAGTGCCGCGAGAGATGCACAGCGGCCCAATACATACGAACCAGCCTCCGCTCCATCCAAATCACCACCGCGTGGTCCTGCAGCATTAAGGGCACCGCCTAGTGGTCCTGCCGCCGCTCGAGTATCATCAGCTGCCGCAACGATGCCAGCTCTGCAAACCCAGAAAAACCCCCAGACCCCGAGCACTGCACCACACAGGCCGGATACCACGAGCCCAACCAACCCTCCATCAGGGCCTCGAGGCTATATTCCACTGGCCAGAGGTTCGTCCTTCAGCTCTCGTGGCGGGAGGGGTGGATGGAATCAAGCACCACCTCGCCACATGTCTGGTCCAGCAGCGTCAGCGATATCAAGTGGTCCTTCTAATATTCCCACTGGCCCTCGAGCGGCCTCTTCAAATGGAGCTGGTACGGGGGCGTCTTCTGCTCAGCGGCCATTCAATCCACCAACCGGCCCATCAGCCCAACACGGGAATGGACCAAGACACAGCCTCGCCCAGAGTCTACTAGCAACGATGCCTCCCCTTGTTCCCGGTGGGAAAACAGATCCCACCATGACCCCCTTGTTACTCGGTGTCACCAAAGAGATTGAGCCTCATTATCGAAAACTGAGGGACGAGGAGGAAAAATTACGAGAGGAGCTACGGATGAAGCAAGAACGTCTCCGAAGGAGCATGGGTGCATGGAACAGGCTTGAGCGAGACGCTCGCGCGTGGGAGATGAGGAGTGACCTAAGTGAGAAGAGCATGAAGAACTTGGCTGGCGAGGGGATTGGCGGTGCGGCCTTTTAGTGAAAGCCTGGGGCTAATGTGACGGCAATCGGGGGTTTCTTACGATTTCTCTACGTCTCTCTCTGTACATATAAATGATTCCACGATCAGGTTTGTATATATATATATATATATATATATATAGACTGGGTATGCTCAAAACCCTTCCTTACCTACCCAACAATGACCAACAGAAACCGTGCCCATGATGCCCTTTAATTCTACAGCAACCGAAAGAGGATAATATGGCGGTCAAGAGTCTAATAGTATTCTTGACAAACCAACCGGATAACCCGTTCTCACATAAATATTACCTAGTATCGTATTATGGCTCTACTCTCATATTCTGTTTCACCATGATAAGTGTAGCACGGTAGTTCTCGGAGTTCGAAAAGGCTCCCACTTGAAGAGAGGCCTTTCGGTAAAATCAAAGTAAATTGGTATCTCTAAAATGCAATGGTATTGTCGTCGAATTGGTCATCGTCTCCATCCCACTCCTCGCCCGAAGACTCGTCGTCATCAGCAAGGAAATCTTCCATACTGTATTGCAACTCCCTCACTTTCTGATTGTCAAATACAATATTGACGGTATTGCAGAGGCCCTGGATCGCGGGCTCATCAGCAGTTGGGCTATGCCGAACATCGGATACCGCACTGTCAGACTCGTCTGATATGTCACTCTCATCCTCGTCAGTGTCAGGCACTCTGTACATTCCCTTCCCGGGCTGGCCTCGCTGCAACATGGTGTCTCTTCTGGGGCGGCGGGGTGAGTCATTGGCATGTGCTTCAATCCGGCCACTCCTGCGCAATGGAGAGGTCGATGACGGAGTTCGCTTCCTTTTGCGCGACCTAGGATGTTCGTGAGTGCCATCTTTTTGCTGGATAGCCATGTTATCCCGCGGAGGCTCAACTTTCCGGAGGAATACACGTTCAACCATGGGTCTTATTTCGGACCTAAGAGTTGCGCGAGCCTGCCATGGGATGTCAAGCATAGTTTTGATGACGAGATGGCGTAGGTTCGGTAGATTTCTGCCGTTATCAACGAGCGACTGAATGAACATTTTCGCAGTATCGACAAACCAATTCCGGATATGTTCAATGTCGATTAGGCGGATACTGGCGGGCCATGTGGGCACCTGGTGTGGTAGAAGGGCGGAATCATACATTGGATCTGCATCATTCAACGAATCATGATGTCGAAAATAGGACATATTCATGCGCAACTCTCGCAAATTAGGACAGGCCTCTTTCAGAATTGTCAAGAAGGCAAGATTCAAAGACTGGTTGTGCAGCAAAGTCAGGGCACGAAGGCTATTGCCATGGGTGAGGAGAAATGCGGCAAGGTCTTCAGATTTGATTTCCCAGCAGTTGATAAGTTCCAAGTGGTGGAGGTCTCTGGGCAGGAGGGGAAGCAGCCGGTCTGTCATGACAGTAGAAGACTCGAAAACAAGGTGCTTGAGATAACTGAGCTGCGCAATGGCATCCGCCATGGCATCGATGGCCGCGTTGTCTTCAAGGGTGGTTTGCAGATCGTCTCCATCATTCTCGGCCCTCTGCTGTAGCCCTCTCAGCGATGGTACCTGGAAATTCGTAAAGCTCAGCCGCGTAATATGAGCGAATGATGGCGCTTGGTGGATTTGAACAATGTCGTTGAAATTTGCAACATAGCCGCCAAGTAGTCTCCCACTCCACTCCCAGCTTTTGAGACTCGTAGGGGCCGGGTGTTCCGCGAACGAGTCGTCAGATGGCGATGTAAGGGCAAGAAAGATGTCCTCTGAATAGTTCCATCTAATATGTGAATCGAGCAACCTGTAGGGTGGCTGGTCTAGGGGGGTATAAAAGATGAGTTCCCTCAGGCGGGTCAGGGGGCGGACAAGCTGAGAGATGATACCCTGAGGCACAACATGGATATCGATGTGTAGGAATTCTATTTTTCTCCGGTAGTTGAACAGTGTCTCTGTAGGACAGCGTTCAAGCAACGCAGCCAGCCGCCTAGCCTTGGAAGCATGCCTTATGGTCGGGCAGCGATAAATTGCCGTCAGAGCTGGCTCGGACAATGCCTTACAGCTGGTAGCGACTTGGATGAACCAGTGTGCGCTTGGCGGGTCTGCGCCGCCATTGTCGCGTGCATACGCAAACACATCAACCCAGAACTGGTAGGGAATCCGAGGGTCCGTCCAATCTGGACCTCCAACCGGCGGCGCCTCATCCTCATCTTTGCTCTGCGTCGCCGCTTGCCGCCGCTTGCTGGGTGAATTGGAGGCAGTACCAGGGCGCCCTTTGCTCTTTGGCTTGTCCCCTCTGCTTGTAGATGAAAAGTTCTGGGAGGCTCTTACCAAGCGTGGAGTTCGTTTCACTCTGTTGCCTGCCCGGGTGCCATGCCCGGCCGCTATCCTGGTGCTCCTCCTACGGCGACTAGGCGACTCGGGAGCTTGGTCAGATGTCGACCTAGATTTGGAAGCGTCTGAATGGGGTTCGTCTGAATCAGACTCAGGAGGGCTGTCGAAGACGCGTCGCCCTCTCCCACGGGGTGTTGAGGGTAGATGAGCATTGGAACGAGTGCCAGCATGAGAAGAGCGAGTCGTGGACTGACGACTTGGGTTCCGCCGGATGCTCTGATTGCTGTTTTGGGCCAGAGTGCTCCGGCCGGCGCTGCGTGTCAGCGGCATTGTACCACCTATTTCACAGCGCCGGTGGTGGAAAATCGGTGAGGAAATATACGTTGAGCGCGGTGGTGTCCTGGAGCATCAAACGATATATGGGGTGACACCTTGTGACTTTGCTGTATGACTTTGTTGGTTGTTGATGACCTGAGTTCTATGTAGAAGCGGCGGTTTGCTCAGGATACGGCAGCTTTAAAAGCGTTGCAAGACCAAGGTTTGGCGGGGCCCAGCATCCTTGCATGGAAGTTACCTATGCGGCACAAGCGTTACCATGTGATAGGTACCGTGTAGGTACTCAGTACCTGAAGCCAAAGGCTGTTTGTCGTTACTGCAATATCGGCGGTATTGAATTGAAACCCACCAAATCCCATGGAGGAACTGGACTTGAGCGATGAAGGAGGTTAACAGAGGTCTCTACTAGGCACTGGCCTTTTATTCTTTGCCTAATGCGCGTGAGGGTGGGTTATTAACGATGGATCCCTGCTCTACTCATGCTAGGGTACATGGAATTCAAGGCTGCTGCCGCTAACAGTATCTCGCCTGCAGCAGCTACAGCGCTGGTACTTGTCCGTACCCTCGGGAGGGCTTCCACTTTCCCCTGCTACGAACCAAGGTACAGACTACTTGTACATACGGAGAGTTGTGAGTGTTTTGCAAGGTAGCACTACAGCTGCTAAAGTTGATGGCACATTCGGACCTTGCGTTAGCGCCATGCGCCATGCTTGCAGGGAAGAGACTCCGCATGTTGTTGGTGGTTTATCTGTCCGGAGAAGTGCAAGTAAATAAAGGTGGGCAGAGATGTCAGGATCGGGTAGCATTATGGGATAATGAGCTCGGATGATGCTTCAGAGGCTGCTCGAAAGATACTACCCAGAGGCAAAGGCATTCACCCTCTATTCCCACTGTGCGTGTTTCCTGTTGCTACTTGCTGCCCTTTCGAGATTTAGCCAGCTAAAAACGCCGATACTCTGGAACTTATACGGAGTACATCTATCCTCAACCGCCTTCTCCGAGATACAGGGTACTGGCTACATGTACTAGCAATTGCCATGCAACCAACACATTTCCAAGGGTCTCTAAAAGACAAAGGCCTAGTAAAACTCTCGGGATTATAACTGCGCGGTGGACCCCTTTCACTGTCCTCCCTTTGCCTCCCTTTGCCTCCCTTTAGCCATCTCCCTAGATACATGTACTCGTACCTACTCCGTACCTTAGTAGTCATCGGACAAATCGTCGTGTTGGCTACATGCATAACGCACTTACAGGCGTACTATGCTTATAGCCGTTGCTCAGCCCAAAGTACCTCAGCGAGACACGGCCGTGCTCCCCATAGCGCTAATGTGCCTGGCTCGGAGTACTCGTAGGTACCATGACCGCCAATTTAAGCGTGGGCTTACACTGAGGTCCGCTGGCGCTAGGCTTTTCTGGGGCCGTGATACAAACCGGCTCCCCGTTTGCCTTGGTCTCATCTACACGCGTCTGCTTCCTTCTAGCAGCCCCGTCGCGCCGCCTGAGTCGCTTTCGCATTCTCGACACTTGCACCCGTCACGGTTTCGCTCTTGTCGTTGGCGAAGAGTCGCCCGATTGGTTTCTTTGTCGTCTCGCCATTTGCTGGCCGGTGCGTACGGAGAGGCGGCTGATATCCGGGCTTTGCTCATTCCTGCCACTCTCTTTCTATTTCACCTTTCACCTTTCACCATTCTCTCACCCTTCACTTTTCATCTCCTGGAAACGGCCTGCGGCAACGAGGCGCCCAAGGCTCAACAATGCTCTAGAGCCGAGAACCCGCCTCCTTTCTCCGGCCATTTCTGTTTGTTTTGTCTGACCTGTCTTGGTTTTGGCTCACCCGCCGTCTCGTAGACCACCTCTTCTCTCATGATTGGTTTCATCCCGCCATGACGGTGAAAACCAGGTGTCAGCAGCGTCGAGCCCCCTTTCTTCATCGCAACTGGATCAAAGGCGCCAGAGCCTTGAAGGACTCTGCAGCTATGGGCAACATAGTATCTTCACCAATCCACAAAGGATCGCATCACATTGATAACGATGGGGGCCCGCCACTCAAGAGGCGACGCATCTCATCGCCCGACTCCCTGGATGTCGACCATCTCATTGCTTCTCCGCACGCTTCGGATTCGAGATCTGCTTTACGTGTCGAGGTTCTCAAGATTGCCCACAAGGATTCCAAAAAGGTCAGATCTCATCACGCCCACGCTCCCCCTCGCGAGGTAATCCCCACCAAAGCTAGCTGCAGGATCACCATCTCTGAACTGAGTTCCGGCTATCCCCGAGTTGTTCACTGCCAGAGTCAAGTATGTGACTTGACAACGTTCAAAAACCCCGTGGGCCCTCATCGAGTCGCTCGCATTGCCCTTCCCAAACCATTCTACATCCCCCAGGAAAGTATCCTCATCAATCGAGCGGATGATGCCACATTTGACCTGGCAGACTCCTACGATATTGTTGTCGAGCTGGAGGCTGCCCATGACGGACATTGGCCGCCGCTAGACTCGAGCGATTTCGGCATTCCTCCGCCCTCAACCAGCCTCGCCTCAGTCCCCGGCAAAGCATGGGTTCTGTCAAGCCGGTTTGACCAGATTTTTGGCAGGCTCAAGAGCCCCTTATCCTTGTCTGCAGGATATGCAACACATGAGCCCCCAGTTCACACCGATTATGTCATGGATATTGATCTACGCTGGTCGGCTGGCTTCAAAGCCTTGAAGCGGCTGGAGAAAGGCTCGATGCCCTGTATCAACGCCGTGGACCCTGATGCCGACCCCTTTGTGGACGACTTGTTTGCCCCATCCATGAATGGGGGGATCCATAGCATCAATGGTCACCACGTAGATGAGTCCTCTATTGAACTCGACGATGACGGCCTAGACGGTTTCGACGGTGCACAAACCCCTTCAAGGTCGTTGAGAACTCGCGAAAAGAATAAGGTGTACAACCTGAAAGTCTTGAGCGACCAAGCTCAGGGGAGGGAAAGAAAACGCCGTGCACGGGCTAATCACATCGCAACAAATGAAGGCCGTGTTAGCTATCTTCTACCTTCTGATCAACCGGTTTGCCTAGACTATTACCGCTGTGTGACCTGCGGAGCCTACCACCAGACAATGCAACAACTGCAAGTCCACTTGCAAACCTTCCACCCTGCGTACAGCTATGTGCTCGAGACGACGAGTCAAGGACCGCAGTTTCGAGTCACCAGTCGCTGCGAGCCCATATCTTCTCCCTTGAAGCAGTATCAGATAAAGCCACCCGTCAAGCCATTCAACCTTGAAACATATCTGGTTGGCGACCAATCATGGGTTTCCTCTCGACTTGGACCGGATACAGTGGATGATATATTTACCTTTTCGGGCGACAAAAGGATCTATGACAGGCTACCCTCCCAATCGCCGTCAGCTACACAGCAGCCAAGGCCGGCACAGCGGCGTCCCGGGGCTCCTAGAAACGATAAGATCCTGGTGCCCAACATTAAATACCCTCTGTTTGACCCCATTAGCAGAGCTCGATTAGTCCCAGGCCAAGAAGTGCCAAAGAGGCCGCTGGACAACACATGGCTGATCCAAAAGCACCGAGAGAGCACAAGTGATTTCTCCGACGTGACTCCTGCAGAAAAGGAGTACATATGGGAGTGGGACGGATACATTCTTCGCCAAAGCCTCACATCTGCCGCTTACTTTCCCCGAGCCTGGCTGGGCTTTGTTCGAGAAAAGGCGTCTTGGCTTGCTGCCGCTGACCAACGTGTGCTAGAGTTTGGCAAGCACGCTAGCTTGCTCCGAGTTCGCGATATGTTGGATGACAATATCATCCGAGAAGCCTTTACCCACATCAATAACGCAAGAGAGAGGCTGCAACAAGTTGCTGGTGATGAGAGTGGCAATGCCCAAGCTGAAGAAGATAATGGCGATGCCAAAGCTGAAGATGTAGATTCAAAACAGTCTCCCAGAGCCACCCAAATCCGCAAAGGAGCAAACGGCTGTACTATCTGTCAGCTGCCAGTCCTGGGTCCAAGAATGCTGATCTGCTCCAATAAGGTACTGTTCGCACCCATCTCGTTCTTGGTATAGACATATGTTTGTAGAAGACGTACTAATTGTAACATCTTCATATAGGCCTGTCCTCAGAGACTATACCACTCAGACTGCGTAGAACAAGAAGCAGTCATGTCAGTTGAAAAGAAGGATATTTGGCATTGTAATGCGTGCTGCGCCGGTAGACCAACCTAGGGCAAAAAAGAAGCACAAGTAGACATGCAACATAAGCCGGATTCCTCAATGGAGATCCTCCAACGACCCCAAAGAGTCTCGGAGCCCTGACATGAGCAGCAACAGTGTCTGCACATGGTCAAGTTGAATTTAATATAAAAACCTCGCATACTCATACGACCAGCTGCCTAAGTAGGTAGCCAGTTGTGGTCAGCATCCTGTCGAGTCTTGCCTAAACGCCTGATTTGGGATGCTACTATAAACACAAATACACCAAGCGGAGACGAAGAGAGCAGTGCTTCCGAGTCACTTGAGCTCTGGGCGTCTGTTGGGAGCACAGGCGTCAATTGCGGCTTTGATTAACGGAGCCGATGTGAGTAATGGAAGACAATGCCGGGATGATTACGTTAAAAGCTTGCCGATACAGATACGAAGATGATACATGTACTCCTAACCAAAATGTTGGCCCCAGTGAGGTATGAGGCGGGTGTAAAATGGTTGAATGGTATCAAAGAAGCATTAGATTTTACTATACATGAAGTTCTTGCAGTCAACGATATTTCCCGGTAAATCCATGAGCCCATTTTGTTTGCTTTTTATGGAGTTTAATACATGTGATGTGTCATTCGCTGCCGTCAACCCTTATCCCTTATTCCCTGATCTAATCAACCAACTTCTCAAGTACGAGTCCGTGGCAGAGGACGAGCCACGGTGGTCATTCTCTGTGGTATTAAAACTTATACTTGCCCTCCCGCTTCCTCTCGCTCTGGTCATTCTCCATACGTTGCCGCTTTCTCCTCTCTTCTTCAATCATTTCGCTCAAATCGTCATCATACGCCCATCTTGCGCCTATACCCTCTTCCTTGTGACTGGCCTCATATTTACTCCGTAAGTCATCTTTGCTGAGGCCGCCCTGCTGGTTGAGCGAGTCCACATCGATTGCCACGTCTACATCGCCGGGCTTCTTTCGTTTCCGAGTGTCGTCGTCTGCGCCTAGCACGGGTATGCCAGACGCAGCGGAGCGCTGGGCGGCGTTGATATCATATGCGCGATCGCTACCAAAGAAGCCCTCGGCGCGAACCTGCCGCTCAGGCACAACGGTGTAGGCGGAGCGGGGAGCGGAGGACTCTTCGGTATCAAACCCGCGTCGTTCTTTGCGTAGGTCCATTTCACCGGCAATGGACGTTTCGACTCCTTGCTGTGAGTAGTCCGGATGGACTGTGCTGGTGTATCCCCCTGGGGTCTCGAGCCCGCTGGGAGTCTCGGTGCCGCCGGGGACATCCTCGTCCTCCGACTCTTCCTCTTCATCCTCTTCTTCCTCTTCTTCAGACTCCTCCTCGCGAGGCTGCAGTTCTCCCCACAGCGTGCGTTCCACGGCATCCCCGTTAGGTGCTTGAGGCTGCGTTACCTGTGCCTGGCCTGAAGCGCCGTTTTGCGCGGTGAGACCGAAAACGTCACCGCCGTACAATGGACGGTTGAATTCATCTACCGGTGGCTTACCCCAGCCGCCGGGATGGAAGCCCCAGGATCCCCCAGCAGGTGGAGGCGCGTTCAAACCAGGTATTCTCAAGGTCGGGTAACTAGGCGGAGTGCCGAATCTCTGTTGGTTGATGAGCCATGGAGGAGGCGCTCCAGGTGGCATGCCGAGCGCTTCCTTCGTAGCATCGCTCAAATCTCCAGGGCGGAAATGCTGATAGTCCACCTCGCTTTCCTTGCCTTCGTAATAGACCTCGCCGAATCGCGTCAGCTCTGGCTTTGTCTGGAAGCGGAAAAAGGCATCGTAAAGCTTCTGGTAATCAATGTCCAGTTTGCCCATCTTTGGCTGAACACGCTCTCGCTGCTTCTGTTTCAGCGTCTGCTCTGCTTGTTTCTCCAGCACTGCGTCGCGCATCTCTGCGATGCCCGTTTCGGCGATGAACTTTGGCAGCCGGAATGCTGATTTCTCAATGCCCCTCTTTGAAGATAGATATTCCCTCTTCATCGCCCAATGAGACGGTACGGGAACGACGTTTCGCTGTGCCTTGATTTGTACCAAGAGTCGTGGATCCGACGACGAGACATCCTGCCATTCAACCACCTCTGGTATGTTGACAAGAGCCTTCAGCTGCGCAACCGAGAGCTTATTCATCTGCTTTCGCTTCTTCTTTGACAACTTTGGTTGAGGGTTCTCATCTTCCTCGTCAGGAATATCATCATTGTCACCGAAGAATACGTCGCCCTGGTTGCCAGCGTTGGCTTCCTTGGCAATCTGGTCTTCCGCAAATGAGAGACCGAATTTGTTGAATATGTCTCTGTACGCGGCAAATGCAGGATCATCGTCTAGCAGGTCATCTCGGATCGGTTCACTCGCAGGAGCGGATGGTTTGGCCATGTCAGCCGCACCCTTGGCATCGGAATCATCAGTCGCCTGTGGCGATTCGTCTCTCTTCTCGGCGGTCGGCTCATCAGATTGTTCGGTTGGTTCGGTCTGTATCAACGTAAGCATTGTGCGACGCGTGATGGCGGCGGAATTGGCGAGACTAACATCTGCCTTGGCCTTCTTCTGTTCCTTCTTCTTCGCCCTCCGCATCTGGTTCTTGGTCATCTTTGGGGCCGCCATGGTGAAGCTGAGGCCGGCGAGAGGCTGCTGGGCTTGGAGAAGGCGGATGGATTGGCCGTCTGGGTGAGGAGCTGGAAGACGGCGTAAAGACCAGTGACAGCAACAACGTATCGCTTTGGATCTCTTCCCATGCCGCGGCGAGCTGGCAGAATCTCGGAGAAAAGCGAGGGCGTGGCTAATCAATCCAAAGCAGCCGGACTCGCGGCTTTGGCTGGGTGAAGCAAGCCGGTAATTCGCGAGGAGGGCGATGAAGTTGTTGGTGAAGCAGTGAGAGCCCCTACTCGGCGGCAGCAGCTTTTCCACCCAGAAAAGAAAAAGAAAAAGCACCCAAACCCGATCGTGTTTTGCCAAGACCAGCGCGCGAAAGGCCAGTGGGGGCGCGCGGCTGTCGGCTGAAGATCGGGTAATAGCTCCAGGTACTGGGAAAATTAGTCCAGCGCAGATTCGCTAAGCCGGCCACTCCTTTCCAGCGGCAAAGACTTCTGAGTGACCTGAAGCCGCGCTGACGATCCCCTTTCCACCGCGGGAGTGACCCTCTATCTTTTGTCTGACCTCGTATTTTCTCCCCCTCCTCATGATTTTATAGCGACATTTCTCTTCTTATCTTCTTCACTGGAGGTTGTTCACTCGCATGGCTCTGCCGTGGTAATGGATGGCTCACTTTTCACACCTAGTCTCTCGTTTCAGTCCACTGCTCCAAATGTCAATTGATATCGCGGCATAACCTACTAGCACCGCCTCTACGTTGACGTTTGCTCCGAATTATTTGCCAGTCGTCGTCATCACACGGCGCTGCGCACTCGGAGACTTGTGTACTCGACAATCGCCTTCAAATATTACATACGAAGATATATCGAATCCTCGAATTCGCGAATCGCGTAGAAACATTGTTGTTGCGCCCGCTGCGCAATGGAGAAATTCCCAAGCCTCACGGCATCACCATCACCACTGGGGAGCAATGGCTTGAACGATCTTGGTTCCGCGAACGGCAATGGTAACGGCCATAGCAATGGCTATCCCGCGGCAAATGCATGGTCGTCCTCGGGACGTTCGCACAGCCGCCAAAAGAGTCTCGGCGATGCATTTCGAACGATTCGCGCAAGGAACGGCAGCATGAGCCAAAATGCCCACGAGATCGCCGATGCGCTACGGGCTCCCGTGTCTCCAAAGCTTGTTGTATGTCACATCCTGTCTTTTATATGATAATCCGGAAGACCGGGCAAGTTAATTCCTCCATTGTAGGTTCTTTGCGTCATGTGGTACACCTCATCTGCCCTGACCAACACGTCGTCAAAGTCCATCCTCAACGCCTTTGACATGCCGGCAACCTTGACGTTGATCCAGTTTGCCTTTGTGTCTTCGCTCTGCATCTTCCTCTCCTGGCTGGCCAGCATCTTCCCCGTCCTGCGCACCAAAATCTCTGCGTTACGACATCCCATCCGCGAACCCAGCCGAGAGGTCATCAGGACAACGCTGCCCCTCGCCTTCTTCCAGATTGGCGGCCATCTGCTCAGCTCGACCGCCACGGCTAAAATCCCCGTTTCGCTTGTCCACACCATAAAGGGCCTCTCGCCGCTCTTCACTGTGCTTGCATACCGACTGATATACAACATTCGATACCCGACAACGACCTACCTCTCCTTGATTCCCCTGACTATCGGGGTTATGCTGGCTTGCTCTAGTGAATCAAACTACGGCGGCCAGTTGCTTGGCGTCTTGGAGGCGCTCCTGGCGACGCTCATCTTTGTAACGCAGAACATCTTCTCCAAGAAGCTGTTCAACGAGGCTGCAAAAGTCGAGGCCGACGGCATGGGAGTCCCAAGCAAGAAGCTCGACAAGCTCAACTTGCTGTGCTACTCATCCGGCATGGCCTTTGCCCTGACTTTACCAATTTGGTTCTGGACAGAGGGCATCACCCTGATTAAAGATTTCCTCCACGACGGCTCGGTAGACCTAAGCAACAGGCCTAATGCCATGGACCATGGCCGTCTCACCTTGGAGTTTATTTTCAACGGCACGTTCCACTTTGGACAAAACATCATCGCCTTTATACTGTTGTCCATGGTTTCCCCCGTTACCTATTCCGTCGCAAGTCTCATCAAGCGCGTGTTCGTCATCGTCATGGCCATCATTTGGTTCAGAAGCCCGACAACTTCCGTGCAAGCCGTGGGCATTGCCCTCACCTTCCTCGGCCTGTACCTCTACGACAGGACTAGCGAAAGCAACAAGGCCGATCGGAGCGCGCGAATGATGACGCAGTCCCGGAGTAGCACGCCTCTGCTGCCCCTTAACGAGGTGCCAACGCAAACTGGTCGCTACCAAACATCGCCTCAGCCGAGGAATGGCGCGTTTCACCCTTGAAGGGGGACCTGTACGCAATAAGGGCTTCCGATGCTGCCGGCGGCAGACGAGGATCGGAAGCGGCACTGGGTTGTTGATGATGCAATCCTATGATTGAAATGGACAAGGGATTTTTTCCTTGGCTACGTAAGAAGTACCAAATGCTTTGGTAATATTTAAGTGCTATAGTGCGTGCCGGATCTGATATCTGCATCTTGACGCTTTGGGGTTCAACCATGAGAAAAAGTACAGCGAAATTAATTACTGATATAGCCCGCGCTTTAGGGAAACACTGGGCGCTGTTCTGGGAAGGCAAAAAGAGAGAAAGGGAATGAAATAGACGCTATAGTATATATTTCGGGATTGGAAATGTCATTAGAATGGGACAAAACATGTATAGAATAGGTAGCTACTAGGTAGTAGTTGTAACGTCTCCATTGTGATAACAGGATAGAAACACGAAGACATTATCCATTACATGCCCAGCGCAACTACTTCCCATGCTGTCCTGTCTTTTGTTCCCGGCATGGCCCCGGGCAGCACGTACAGTATACAGCAGTAATTCACAGGGGAAAAGAAAGAGGTCAGTTCAATCCACGTTTGACATCCTGGCGAGATATTTCCCGTCCAGGCATCTATTCATCGGCCTATCTCTATTTACTGACAATAAACATTAGATTGATGTTCATTTGCCGCAGGGTCCAGTTGATGGTGAATTTTAAAAAAAAAGACCAATAAAAAAGAAGCATCATGTATCATCCATGCGCGCACGCCTTGAGAAATCCATTTGACCAGAAAGAAACAAAAGAAATGAAAACGCCAATAATACAATGTATATGTGTGTCCGCCAGACCCCTGATAAAAACTCCGTTCCACTTGTGAAAAGGCCGTGGTTCCCATGATTTCGTAAATTGAATAGCACGCTTGCATGAGGGTCATCTATTAAGATGGAGACCGGCAAGGGGGAGTTTCGAAAACTCTCACAGTGCAGTCTCGAATTCGAAGATGTGGTGTACAATCCCCGTCAATAGGAGGGGGGTAAAATGAAACGAGCGGATCTTCCATGCTTTAGAAATGTAGAGCATCCAGCTGCAAAAGTCAACTCAGGCAATAGCCGATTGACTTGGCCTAGTGATGAAGGGTATTAGGACGCATCAGATTGGAACTGAGCGGCCACACTGAGGCTTGCTTTGAAAATTTGAGCGATGACTGCCGATGTACTGGAGTCACTCAACGAAGACGTTGAAATCTGATCATCGTTCGACATAGATGGCAGTCGATGATCGGAGAGGGCCAATGGCCTCGGTGTGTATGGATGGACGACCCGAGAGGCGCCATACCCTTGCCAGGGCTAAAAAGGGCATAGAGAGCGGCTCATGGAATTATTGACGGCGACTACGACCAGAGAGCTTGATAAGAGCTGCTGCATGGCCGCATTGTACCCCGCAAGCAGATTCCAGTATAGCGCCGTTGTGGTGGCCGAGTAATCGCGGGGAAGTCCCATGTCCGGATGCAGATTGATGGTATCGGACTACTCGGTAGTGTCTCGCGTAAGAGATGGCAAGCGACAGGTGGCTGCAAATCAGCCCCCTTGGCATACGCTGGCACTCTTTCAAAACGATGAATGGCTGCTGGGATTGTAGCTCGACTCTCCAGATTCGGGTCCCGAAGATGTCGGTGTCGTTCTCCGGTTCGAGCTTTTGCGATTGAAGCCCAGCTTTGCGCCAACCTTTTTCCAGCCTTTATTGTGCGCTGCCACGGCACGGTGAAAGCCCCCATGCGTGGCACTAAAAGTCCACTCTGAGGTAGGCGGCGTGGTAGGGGGTGTCATGGGTTCCGTGACGGACGGCGAATTGCCTTCACTATCGGCTGACAAGGGGTCGACATCCGCGCCACTGGAGGGCGTTGTGCGATCAGAAGATGCTTTGGGCGATCCGAAATGAAAATCGGGATGCAGGTCTGTTGCGGGGGTAGCGACGGACTGCAGGAAAGGAACCAAGACGGAGTCGTTCATGAGTTCGTATATGATGCGTCCAGCTTCGGCCAGTTCGGACGGGTGAGGGGGGTTGGGGCCATAGGGCACGCGAAGGAGGCGATCTCGAACCTGAGCAGGAATGTTTACTTCGCGAGGGGCGCAGGGGACTATGTAGACCTGCATCAGCTTCTCCCACCATGCGCAAACCCTCTCCCTGCCGTCATCCGCGGAGGTGGCGTCAGGAAAGGACTGTTCGTAGACGGAGGCATAGCGCTGAGCGTCAAGGGTGAACTCGAGCGTCTCCATGCAGTGGTTTTGGGAGAGGTAGGCCATGAAGGCGCTCAGGGTCCAGGGCGGAGGGGCGGTATCGAGAAGAATCTCGTTGAGGGTCGGTGGGTGACCCGTCATGGTGTATCGAGGAGATGAAACTTCAGACGAAGAGGTGAAGCTGGTTGGGCGTGAGTAGGGCGTGTAAGATGTATATAATGATTCATTGAAATCTTCGAAAGCAGACAAGGGCCGTGGCTGCTGCTTGGGAATTGTGAGTAGGGCTCCAACTGGCTGCCGTATCCTTGGATTGACCATTCTATGCGATATCGCACCAGCGTGCCGAATTGCAATGTGCGTTCCCTGGGGCTTCTGGTAAGAGCGCTCTTGACAGGCCCTTACCAAAAGAACTCTGGGAAAGCACAAGCAATTATAATGTTGGGATGCAGGGTGAATGACAGAGTGTCGCTGTGCGGGTTGATGCGAAATGGACCGATCAAGTCAGTCGACGGGTATCGTCCTTGATCATCCGGAAGCGACGCAAACGACAGTGAATGAGCGGCCTGGAAGCTGTGCCGCAGGACAATGCCGAGTCGGGAGGAGACGGAGAAGAAGGAGTACTCGTACTCGTAAGAATGCAGACTCGGTGATGATGGGAAAGCCAAAGCCAAAGCCAAAGCCAAAGCCAAAAGCCAGGCCAACTCTAAGAAGGGTCACGTAATCCTTGGGGATCCACTGGCTCGGTGAGGAGCAGGTCAAGTCAAGTCGAGTCGAGTTGGATCACAACCAAGGCAGAGAATTAGAAATAACTGTCGGTATGTGGTTTCGGACAGCGAGAAGAGCGACGAGTAGGGCGAAGACGAGCAGAAACCGAGACGAGTCCGAAAGGCCGGGGGGGGCGTCGAGCAGAGGAGGATATGGATGGATATGAATGAGAATGACGGGAGGGATGACGGATGGACGGATTAGAGCAGAACCAGACCAAACGGCGGCTCAAGGTATGTAGTAGTCAGCAAGCAAGGAACGACGGCGGTGAGGACGGATCGTCTTTTGTGGCGTGCAGAGATTCAAGCAGACTGGAGGCGAGGCATCCGAATGCAGGGTGGCGGGAAACAGCACGACTGAAGTCTTTTGTAAGTTCCAGTCACTGCTCATAGGCATCTCAGCGCCTGGGTGGCGGGGGATAGAAGGCACACAGATGCACAGGCGGGTGGAGCCTGGCCGCGGTGGCTGCGAGCTAAATCAGCGAGGCCTACGGAGTGCAGTATCGGGGGATCGGAGGGGCTCAAATGCTTGCTTGCTGGGGCTGCTGCTGCTGCTGCTGCTGCTTTTGGGTTGCGGCGTGCTGTCAGTGGTTTGTGCTAAGCGTCCTAGTGGTTCTAGCGGTTCTACAGTAACATCCACGGAACAAGGAAGTCCTGGCGTCTTCGGTGGCTCTTGTGGCACTGGCTGTGTTGTGCTTCTGTGCTTGGCTTCTTTCTTGGTTCCAATCCTGTTCCAAATGTTCCTTTTTTTTTTTTCTCCGCCCCCCTTCTATCCTGCTTCCGGTCGGGGGGCGAAAAACGCGAACGAAGCCTGACCTGGCCTGACTTGACCCGACCTGACCTGACCTGACCCGACCCGACAATGCAAACCCAAAAACTCAAATCCCGGCACATCCAATTCGTTAGTACCGGCATCGCCTAGCAGCCTTAAAAGCCAAAAAGTTTTGCCTAGGCATGGAATAGTTTCTCCGTGCAGCGGGCAGCGGGGTTTTACAATAGTTGCATGTCATGCCATGTCGGAACGGGAAATCAAGGAAACGAGACAGACAGACAGACGAGGGAGGCAAAAAAAAAAGGGAAAAAAACTACAGAACAAAAAGTTCTCCTCCTGAATCAGGACCGATTCGACTCTTGACCGAAAGCCGTCAACGGCCGTCTTTAACCCTCCAGCCCTCCCCCTCTCAGCTGCACGAAAGCGGAGGATAGGCAGCCGGAACGGAGATCTCTTCCCAAAGCTGGACCAAAGGGCAGGGCGCGCCAAGTACGGAGCTTGTGCACTGCCGTCCCAAGTACCTGGCAGCCTGGCAGTACCTCGGACGCACGCTGCCTGCCCCTCACCACGCGGAGTCTCCAGGTACCTCGGTGTGCAGGGCAGCTGTCCCTGTCCTGTCCTGTCCTGCAGGAAAAGAGGAAAGACCCGGAGGGAGAGTCTGGTGATTCCATCCTGCCGGTGGTCAGGTTTTTACATAAAGATCCCGAAATACTCATACACAGCTTCCACCTTATTTCCCCATTCGGTCGCTCACTCATTCATCAATCCTCTTGCACAAGCTCCGAAAAGAGTTGGAGAAAAAAAGAAAAAAAGAGGCGAGTGAGCGAGCGAAGCGTCGTCGAGAAGGCGCGAACAAGGAGAACGAACGGAGCCTGCGGGGTACCTTGGTGGACTTCCTGACCGCTGGCCTGGCGCGGGCTCTTTGCTCGCAAACCGCTGTGGTCGCTCGTATCGCCAAGGTACCCAGTCTCCCCGTCCCCCGTTCCCAGTCATGTGGCCCCCGCGGGCTCCAGAGGCTCCAGAAACCTGGTGAGGGGCAGCGACCGCACCGGCCACTCGGCGATAGCGAAACCTGAAAACCGCACAAGCCACCGTCCGGGACGCACTAGAAGGCCGCTGGAAGCTGCTGCGCTGGGCCAAGCAGAAACAGTTGAGCATTGGATCGCACCGGCACCGGCGCGCTGCTGATGACTAGAGTCTCACCAGCACCAGCACCGGGTCGCTAGAAAGGCGCTAGAAAGGAACCCGACATTGAATTGAAGCCTCAGCAAGCCGGTGATCCTTGCTTTTCCGACCAAAGGGCGCGCGTCCCCATTTGGCAGCGCGTCACCCGACATGATTGGGTGGCTGGTGGCTGTGCCGACTCGTCACATCCCCCAGGCCTGAATCGTGCCATGGCCGGGATGACGATTCGACGCCGCCATGTCATAACGATGCAACGTGCCGCCAACCACAGCGCAGAGGTCCCAAACAAAATGCAGTGGGAACAACCTTGAAGAGGTACTACATGGAATTTGCATTACCGTCTGCTACCTTGCGGGTACGTTGCAAACAGCTGCGGTCCGGCTCCGATGGCGCTGTACCTCGACTGTACCATTGGCTACTGCTACTGCTACTGCTACTGTGACGGAAGGACAAGATTGAAACCAAGCTTTCCAAGTTGTGCGCTGTAACCTTCTGGCTGGCACGCCTCACCTTTCTGCGACCCGACGACTTCTTCCCTCCACGCACGTCACATCAAATCACATGTAGACACAACTAACTGCAGCGCACGCACGCACGCTCGCTCAACAAAAACCCCTTGCCTGGCCTCTGCCTTGCTTCGCGCTGATTCACCCTGCACTTTGTCCCGTCATTGGCAGCGATTTTATGCAAATCTCCTGCCACGTAGGCGTCATATGTGGCACAGGCCAACAAAAAAAAAAAAAAAAAAAAAAAAAAAACCACCCCCCGTGACAGCAGCGATTCAGTTGACGGGACGGGCTCTCGCAACTTCGCGCACGTCGCCTTTGCCTTGGTCTCACCGGACAGCCCGACCCCAAACACCAGCACAAGGCCGGCCCATGCTCTTTGTACACCGCTCCCAGTGTGGTAAATTTAGCACAGGGACTGTCCTCGTTCTCAAAAAGGGTTGCAGCCTGTGGAGAGCAGATGCTGCTTCTGGGCTAGTGACATGTCAACCTTCTCAACCCTACCTATATTACACCTATATATAGGCGCACCGGTGAACGTACTAGCAGTATTACGGTAGCAAGAGGATTGATAACATTACATGGATAGTACTCGTATGAAGACATCAGATTCTAGTTATTGCTACTGCTAATAATAGGGTTTGTATTTAACCTCGCAAGGTAGGTTCATCAAAAGCTGACATGATCCCCCCAACGTACATACAGTGTGCCAAGTGCTGGGACTAGTATAGTACCTAGTAGCCATGCATCATGGGTACACAATTCCATGTGAGACCCCGTTTCCAAATTACCTACATATGAGATTACATGACGTCTGGGGAAGCTGTCTATTAAAATCTCACCACGTCTGCCGCTACCCTTTTGCTCGATGCGAGGTGCCAGAGAAAGGAGAGTGCTGGGAATAGGAAGGGTTAAGCGCAAGAAAGTCGAGAGCTAGAAGAAAGCCGAGTGTAAGAATGCTCGATCGGAAATCTCGATGAAAACAGGCAAGATGAATGTGAAAACGACAAGAGAGCAAGAAGTACGGAGATCAAGAAGAGCGCAAATGTCGGATCCGGATCTGCGAGCAAAGTCGAGAACCATTGAACGTACGGAAAAAAGAACCAAGGTTATGAGAGCAAGCCGCGATAAGTTCTTCTTATATGGGATCCCGCACGCCTATTCGGAGCCCTGCATTAACGTAGCCAACGTCATCCTTCCGTATCCAAGATAGTCAATCCAAGACATACCCAACAACAGAAGATACTAGAGAAAGCAGCAATCACGGGAAGCACAAGGTAGTGACCGTACACAGAGCAGTCAGAGTACAAGACGCTTCAACCAGGCGTAATTTACAGTGGCGTACTGAATTGGAAAAGATGGAATCCATTGTTGTCTACCAAGTCGTACCGTATATGCTCTTCGTCTGCCCGTGTCCCTGGTATAATTAGTGTATACCTATATGCTGTCTTACTCCTGTCCATTTATCCCAGAACGCTTGTTCATTGTGATGAAAAAAAATGTATTATACTACCCCTCTCTCCCAACGCCTTGCTAAAATAAAGAGAAAAAAAAAACAAAAAAAACACAAAAAAACACAAAAACACCAAAAAAACACCAAAAAAACAACCAAAAAACAAAACCAAAAAAAACAAAGACAAAAAAAAGGTGGGTTGACCCCTGGCAGTTACTGCTGCCAGAGGTCAAAGTCCCCCACAAACCCCCCGTTCAACAACATTCCCGCGATTCTCAGCCTTTGGAGGGCCATTTCCCCCACATTGTAGCTCTGGAGGGGGTCGAGCCCCAGAGCAAGGCAGACGCCATTTGTAATGACGTGTACACCGCAGTCGTAGCCGTTGGTCTGTTGAGGGGTCTTCATAACAACCACCTCCCATGGCTTGGCATGATAGAGATCGCCCAGATAGTCTGACATCCATGCGAGTGCCAGATCGGGGTGAGATGAGCGTCGGTTGAATGAGTCGAGGTGCATCACTTTTCGTTGCTTGGGCTGAACCACCACAAGTGTCCAGTGATAATCTTGGCAAATAGGAATCAGGATCGTGTCCATCAATAAGAGATTCTTCGGAGTGACGCCCATGCGACGGAGAATGGATTGTGTCTTCTTGCCGCCCGCCTCTTTGACTCGAGGCCAGAAAAATGAGTTCATAACAAGGCATTTGCGACCCTGTTGCTTATAGTCGGTGATGCCAGCCACCAAGTTGATTTGTTTTTCCAACTCTGCGAGTGCTCCGTTGACGATCTCGTCGTTCAGCCAGGTCTTAGCTGCAACCACCGTGGCGAAATCGTGTCGGCGAAGAGGTGTTCCCTGGCATGTCGTGGCCACCACGTCTATTTCTGAGAGCTCAATCGTGCTCGCAATCTTCTCTATCCAATCGTCGCTGAGAGGAGCCACCATGGGTTGACGAGGTCCCTTGGCTGTCCTTTCTTTCAGCTTTTGCAGGGCCTGGTCTCGCAGGAGTCTCTCCTTGGCCAGTTTCTCGCGTTGTTGGTCAACCAGACGAGTTTCTGCTGCCTTTGCTTGCAAAGTCTCCACCTCGGCTTTTGATTCGTCGCTGATCTTGAGAGTTTCGACAGAGGGCAAGGCCAAGAGTTCTTCGATTCGTCCAGCAGGATCGGGCTTTGGCGCTAGTGGTGCTGCAACTGGTTGCTTTCCTGCGCGAGCTGATCGGTAACGCTGAGCTAAACCTCTAGCAAGCTCCTTAAGCTCGTCATCGTCGTCAAGCCAAGTAATTTTGGGTTCGTCGTCTTCATATCCATCGTTGAGATCGAGGGGTGAGATGCCCAGCTCTTCAAATATGTCGCCAATGGAGGAAACGCTTGGTGAGGGTCCTGGTTTTGCCTTATTATATACCAGAGGCCCAGATCCCAGCCACATATCGTTCTCCTTTTTAGGCTCGACAGTTTTGATAGCAGTGACGTCGAATAGCTCCATCTCATCGTCGCTGTCGTCCATGGCAAGATATGCGGCAAGATCCCAAGTTACTTGTTTGTTTTTGTATTCGGTAAGATCAAAAGTCACTCTTTTGCTTTGGTTTTCTTTTTGGTTGGTAGATGGGTTGGTTGGTTCCATGTCTTGATCGCTATCCATCCTGTCGAGGTATGCGGCAACTTCAGCAGAAACAACTCGTCTGTCCATGCTCTGATCACTGGCCTCCTTATCAAGATAGTCGAGAAAGTCGGTATCCTCCCTATCAATGTACTCAGCGACATCCGCCAGGATGCCTTCGTCCTTATAAATGGCGGAAGTGTTATCAACGTCAGGAAATGTCTCTGTTGCGATAGATGGTTCTGGTTGCTCATGGTTGCTGGGAACCTCGGGGTGCCTGACTCTGCGGCGTTTGCGAGAAATGCCATCATCGGAATCTTGGACCTCATGGTCTGAAAGGAAATGGGTACAGGCTGTGTGAAGGCGAGCTGAGGTTCTGTAGACTAGAGGAGAATGTTAGTATGACTAGGCTTGGAAAAGGAAAAAAAAAGAGAGGCAGATGACTTACCAAAGAGCCCAACGCCGGAAATTGCGTTGGATGCTAGCATAAGCGCCATAGCAGAGAGTTGAATGATCTCTACAATGAGGAGAAGAGACTGAGAAGAGAGTTAGCTAGAAGTTTGTTGAAGAAGGAGGACCTGAGTCTCACCAGCAGCGAATGGCTGCGGGGGAGAGTGATCGAGGTCATGGTGATGTGATGAAAGCAAGAAAAAAAGAGCTCGATGTGGAAGGCAGTATGTGTGTAAAAGCAGTATGTGCGTAAAAGCAGTATGTGCGTAAAAGCAGTATGTGCGTAAAAGCAGAAAGCGATCTGGATCAAAAAAGTCTGGAGCAACTTACGGAACGAAGAAAGAAGAGTCTGGGGGGGAAGGCGATATAAATAAGAGAAGAGAGAGCGCCCTGCTGGTCTGTCCGTGCGCAGAGGACGCGTCGTGCGAATTATGCTCTGCGAAGAGGAAGCATATTTCGAAGTTTGATAAGGTAGAGTTTGTCGGCGGTCGCGTTGTCGCGGAGAGCTGGTGACGCTACAGGCAGATCGCTGAAGCCCATAGTTACAGGCAGGTGAGTTGCAGGTGAGTCGCCCAGCGGGTGGCGGGTCGTTCAAATCAATTACCCGGCAGAACCTCGGGGCAGCCCTACTTTCTCAGCCGCGCGGAATCGGCGGGTTTTGATTGGCCAACTTTAACTTGATTGCCGCGCATGATAAAACGCCAGATTCATCGGCATATCAGTCTTAGTTTTACCAAGCGAGATAGGTAGTTACCAGCACCTTGTGACGCATCACTATCTAGGTACAACTCTCACCCAAACTTACCCCCCAGAACCTTCTTTCTCTTCCGTAAGTTTCCCTCGAACCCTTTTGCTCCAGACTGCTTTTTGTTCCATAATCCCCGCCCCCTGCCTTATCTTGCATCCATCTTTGCCTGCTTTGATCGGGCCTTTCACTTCGATTAAATTCACCATGACCTCGACTACCTACAGTATGAATGGTCGAATCATAGTATACCTCTGTTACACAACCCCAATACACTTACTAGGTAGCTATTGTTGGGAGAAGGTGCAACACCTCTTCTTGATTCCTCTTCAATAGCTATCAGGCCACCCTAAAACCTTCTTTCTTTCTCCGTAAGTTCCTCTCAATTTTCTTGACAGATTGCTTCTTGCTTCTTGCTCCACATATTGCACCATCCCTGCCTTTTTTTCCCACATCGATCTTGCTGCTATTCATCAAGCTTTTTCCGCTTCGATATTATCACCATGATCTCGACCTCTGTCACGTGATCCCCTACTCTTAGCTATCAGGCCACCCCAAACCCTTCTTTCTTTTTCTGTAAATTGCTTCCGACTTTTCAGATTCTGTTGTCGCCCACTTGCCTCTTTCTGCATCCAACCTGCTTCTACATTAAGCTTTTTTTGCTTTGAAAACATCACTGTAACCTCTAGCACTTTGGGAGAAAGCAATAATATAACCTCTGTCACGTGATCCCAATACACTAGGTAGTTATGGTGGTACCTCAGAACCTTCTCTTTATTCCGTACCTATAGTACCTAAGTTAGTAGGTTGCTTCCGATTTTTCACATTCTGTTCTCGCACACTTGCTTTTTTCTGCATACAACCTGCTTTTTTCATCAAGTTCTTTCCCTTGATATAATCACCATGACCTCTATTACCTACCAATGGTAGAAGTTCTTGAAGGAAACAAAGACTGGCGTCAATGCCAACAACGGAAGTAGTACAATTCACCCTTCTCTTCTTTTCTTTTCTATAATCTAGAGAAATGCCTATGCAGCACCTCAATTTTGCTATTCAGCATGCCGTGTCTGCTACTATCGCTACATTCCTCTACCTACCTGTTTCTACCTATCAACCCCCCACCTAGGTAATTTTAAATCTTAGATACGGGATGCTGGCTAGTATCTCACTTTATTAGATATCGTTTGTTGTCGGCCCGTAGAAACTAATCTTGGGCGCTGCTGTCTCATTAAAAGGCTACACTATGTACTGCAACTAGGTTCCCAGGCACTGCCTGCTTGCTCTTCAGCCTCGGTTGATTCGTATAGACCACGTTTCTTCGCGAGAACGTGGCACAATCAGCCCCGAGAGCTTATTCCATCTATCATCATCCCCCATTGTTCTTCTCTTCTCTTCTTTTGTTCATTCAAGTTCAAGGGTTCAAGATGTATTCATTAAACACGTAAGCTATATCCAGCAGCTTCTGTAAGAGAGGTAGGCGCTACACATGATAATATGTCCAATAGTACCGTAAAAATTGTAAAAATGACAGGTGCAAAGTATAAACTAAATAAATGCCAGTACCGCTTCTATTCCCGCGCGAGCACGCCAAAGACTCTAGGCAGCGCTTCCAAACTTCTTGGTGCAAAATGCTGAAAAATAGGCGTTGAGGGCGTCGATGGTGCCTGTGCCTTCTACTAGAGATGCCACCATGCCGACGTAGCCATCTGGTCGAACAACCACCACGCCGCCCTTCTCTTCGTCGAGACCCATCTTTGCGTGCGCCGATGCCTGTGCATCAGGCACATGGCGGTCCCATCTGTCGTCCGCATAGACGTGGTCACGATAACGAGCCAAGGGGCCTGGTGCGTCTCTTGGGATCTCAATACGATGTCTCTTGGCGGCGAAAATGGTGCACAGCGTGAAGAACATGCTATGCGGGTTGTGCTTCTCGTGATGCGAGACTTGATCGACATCCGGTCGGGTGTATGCTGAATAGAATGAATCGGCGCTAGACAAGTTGTCTGCTAGATCGCGGATAGCGGCACGGTTCTTGACTGGCTCTCCGGCGAAGATGAAGATGCGGAACGACCCGTTGAGCGGTATCTCTTGCTCTAGGTGCACCACGTTGGCATCGACGACTCTCGTCACGTCTGCAATTACGAATAAGCGTCCGGATTGCAACTTTGTGCCGCTTGGCTGCATGAGAGGTGACTGTGCTGGGTGATCTGGAGACCAGTTTAATGCGTTGGGCTGATACGAGACGCCGTAACCGCTGGTGAATTCGCAGGATTCTTTGAAGGTCCTGATAAAAGCATTGTCGGCATCTAGGTCTGCATCTGGTATCGTCTCCGAGGCCGCCTGAACTTCAGAAGCCGCGGGTGGCCGCTGAGAGAAGAGCTTCGCATATCGGTTGTCAAAGTCTAGTAGTGATTCTGCGACTGCTTTTCGCTCAGACTCGTATGTCTTGAGAATGGCTCGGTCTGCGAGGCCACCCTCCACGGCATGGATCTTCCAAGCCAGGTTTAGCGCATCCAAAAAGGCAGTGTTCATTCCCTGGCCGGCTTTGGGCTGAATTTATTCTTAGTTCCTGAATGATATATGCTAAGGGGTAATATGGGAGTCACTTACACTATGGGTGTGACAGGCATCGCCGCCCAAGAAAACTCGCTCATCCAAGGTATATTTATCAGAGATCCCCTGGCCAATAGGGTAGACGGAATACCATTCAACGTGCTCCCACTCGATGGAGTAGGGCTGTAGAATCTTCTTGGCGGAAGCCTGTACCTCTGCTTCAGTGGCTGTCTTTCTTGGGCTCCAGTCGGCATCCGTGGAGGACGCGATCTGAATGTAAAGGCGAACCATGTTGTCCTCACGTGGGATGACCATGATGGAGCCATGCTGGCTGCGTATCGTACACTTCATCTACAATGAAGGTTAGCATTGTATGTTGGGAAAAGAGGGAAAGCAGGGGGCAGAAGAGCTTACCTTGATATCAGGGAAATCGGTCTTGACCACACCGTCCATTACACCCCAGACATACGCAATCGGATCTTTATGCTGGAATCCAATGTTCAGCTGCTGTCTGACAAAGGACCTTGCGCCCTCGCCTCCAAAGAGGTACTTTGCGAACACGGTCTCCTTTTCCGCACCGTCGACGTGTTCCAGTTCAACCTGGACGGGATATTCATATGTCTGGGGGCTGCGAGACTGGAAGCCCGTGATTGTCCAGGGCCGCTGGATCTTAGTGCCGTTCTTCTCAAGGTCTGCGATGAAGGCCCTCTCGATGTGGCCTTGGTGAAGCAGCGTGGTGAACGGATAGCGGGCATCGATGAAGTTGGGGCAGCTGGCCCAGGTCCCTGTCCTGGCAATACCCTTGCTTGATTCTGAAGGGTCCCAGAACGCGACTTCATAGACACGAGCGGGCTTATGGGCCATGATGGCAGACTTCAGCCCCATGTTCCGCAGCAGGTCGAGAGAGCGAGGCTGGATGCCATCAGCCCGACCAGTCGCCGTAGGCTCTGGCCTGTTATCGATGTGCTTCACGCGGTAGCCCCATCGAGACAGACATGTAGAGAGCATCAATCCCACAGGCCCGGCACCCACAATCACTGCCGCGGCAATCGAGTTAGTACATTGAGCCGTGTGGCCGCTGGGGGGTTCTCGGTATGATCGTACCGACGTCATAGTTTTGAGACGCATCTTGACACACAAGAGCGGGAGACATGGCTCTCCTCGGCGATGGAACAATCGCAAGACAAGGCGAAGGCACGAAGAGGTTTGTACACGACGGCTCAGATGGAGGGGAGTAAAGGCACGACGATTGATGTGTCAGGTAAGCCAAAAATGGAAGAATATGTAATCAAGATGAGGGCGGACGGCACGTAATGAGATCGAGATCAGCAGATGTAGATGGACGGCAGCAGGACGAGTAGAAGAAGATATAACAGCAGTGAATTCAGAAGCAGAAGCGCAAGTCCAGCATCCAAGTGCCGAGGAGGCAAAAAAAGAGAAACTATGTCCCGTCCATGATAACAATTATCGGGACTCGACACGGGAGTCTGAATTCCCAGCCGAATCCGTGAGGGGGCCTCTGGTTGTTCATGGCAAGAGGTGGGAAGCGGCACTAAAATCACGGCAAAGGATTCGGGAGTAGTCCAGAGCGGAGAAGGCAATTCCAGCAAGTAAAATGATGTCGGGTGGTCTGTACGGGTACTCGTACAGCGTACAATGTACATGGGGACCGTCAGCGCCGCAGCCCAAGAGCCGCCGTTCGGTGCCGCAAAGTCTTGCCCGGCTAGTACTAGTGACTTGGCCCGGTGCTGGGGATGATATGTACATGTATTCTTGCGGAGCAAGCTGAGGACCATACTAGAGGTACATGCAACCGGAATTGATATTTGTACATGGACTGATCTGTTCTAGTAAGGTGGTATTATTATGAAGACAACCGT